GAAATATTTTCTAAGCGTCAGAATTTTACATATTTGAACTAGTAAAAGAAATGATACATTTAAACATTTGAAATTATATAATTTTACAATTTTTTCATATCACATTAAAACGTTTATTCTTATAAATAGATAATAGAAAATAGTCTAAGAATTGATGAAAATGTAACTTGTGTAAGCTTTTTAAAGTCAAGCATGTATGACACAAAAATATTACCTTCCATAAAATCAAGAAGACAAACAATATAATCAACAACGTCCTAAATCTCCCACTTTGATCTTTTCTATTTATAAGCCACTCTTCGTAGCAAATGCTCGTAACTATATCAATTTTTAGTAAAAGAAAAGTAAATAAATAAATAAACTAAGACTACAAAAAATGTCTGAAAACTTTCAGATTTTACATTGCGCCCAAAGGGGCGTTTTTTAAACGTTTTGAGTGTTACCTTTATTTATTAAATATCATGTTCTTCGCACTTAAACTATAAAATTCAATTCAACAGCGATATCGCAAAATAATTTTTAAATGAGCATATTTTAGAATTTCCGATACACAATCTCGCTCGCTGGAGATAAAAATGCTTTTTCTGTACAACATTGCCGTTGCTCGCTTTGAAATCCTTGAGTTTGTTGATCAAAAATTCGTTAAAGTTATCAAAATATGAAATCGATAATAAAACAAATTCCAAATTAGGGCATCCGGATGCCCATATTCAATGGAAGATTACGTTATGCGAAGCTGGATGTCTCTATGTACCGTTGTTTTTTCACAATGCGAGAAACATACATACATTTATGCTGATTCTTCATTATTTAATTTTTTTAAATATAACACAGGGCGATAATATTGGGTAGCAACAATTTGAAAAGTTTTATTTCAATAGTTTTGTCGTTATTATTACTTACAACCGTATCCAAATATTTGAATCGTTCAATTTCCTCAGAAACATAATCCTTTATTTTCAGCGGTAACAGATAATGTCTTTTGTTTGTTACTGTCATGAACTTAGTTTTTCCTTCACTGACGTTCAAACCAATATTTTTTGTTGCCGATTCAACTATCGCTGCCTTCGTTCTTCGAAAATACTGTTTTGTGTTTGTATGCCCGAGCCTCTTATTGCTTTTTCTGGGGCAATATGATTCAACTGGCAGGAAAGGAGGCCGTTTTCAGCATAAAAGATATCTGATAATTCAGTTCCCAGTTTTTCTCTACATTTTACTTTCCTAAGGGTCATCTTTATCAGAGGGGACCACCAGCGGCCGTGCGGTAAAGTCGCTGGACACTGGTAGTTCGGTCCGCGGTTCGAATCCCGCGAATGGGCTGGCTGCATGGGCGTTTTCGTGGTTTTCCGCATGTGTAACGTGTATACGAGCCAGTTTCCCTTAGAAAGTCCTCCACGAAGGCATCCCTCCCCTTAGGCAGATAGCCCTCGAGGCTTTGCCATGATCACACACACACACATCTTTATCAGAATCACCAATTTTTCAAGCACTCCCAACTCCAGCCTTTTATGTTACTACTACATCATATACAAAATATTTATGTTTTGTATGTATTTTAGTAATAAAATACATAGCTGAAAGTAATAGCTCAATGTAATAATAAAGTAGTGAAGCCAAAGTAAATTCGTACAAAGAAAACAAATTATATGCGTCATCTAAATGTAAGATAAATTTTTAGCCCAGAAGAGATATTGATTTAGTTTGGCATTTTGCGTTGGTTCACTATAAACACCGTTGCACTTTTCAAATTGTTGCCACCAAATGTTAGAGCCCTGCATTATATTTAAAGAAATTAAATAATGAAGAATCTGCATAAATGTATGTATTTTTCTCGCATTGTGATAAAACAACGGTACCTAGAACCATCAAAATTTGAATAACGTAATCTTCCATAGAATATGAGCATGTGGAAGCTCAAATTTGGAGCTTGAAATTTGTTCTATTATCTACCTTATAGTTAGTAAACCTTTAGCGAATTTTTGACTAACAAAATTGACGATTTCAAAGCGAACAATGGTAACACTGTATGGGAGAAAAATTGTCTCCAAGTACGCGACACTGCGTACCGAAAATTCTAAAGAAATGCTCTTTTTAAATTACTCGCAAAATAGTTTTAGATTGAGTATATCTTTAGAATTTCTGATAGGCAATCTCACGCGCTGGAGATAAAATGTTTTTTCTGTATAACGTTCACGTTGCTCGCTTTGAAATCGCTGAGTTTGTTAATCAAAATTTCGTTAAAGATTTACAAAATATGAAATCGATAATAAAACAAATTCCAAATTTCAAATTTGGGTTTCCACTTGCCCATAATCGCAGTAGCATTACGTCATTCAAAATTCGATGGCTCTATGTGCCGTTGTTTTATCGCAATGCGGGAAATATACATACATTTATGCAGATTTTTCATTATTTAATTTCTTCGAATATAATCCAGGACATTTGGTGGCAACAGTTTGAAAAGTGAAACGGACATTTATAGTGAACCACCCCAAAACGAAACAATGGTCCTTCAGGGACAAAGCCCCTTTGGACTAGAAAAATTTTTAATTGCGGTTTTCAATGCTGTTTCAGCTTTTCAAATGTTTTTACTGTGGTGTTCTCATTTTGCCCTATGAAACAACTCAAATAAGACCAAATCGTTTTCAGTTCTAGGTTCCAATGTAATTAATAATTTTTAATGTAATTGAAGACTTTTGTCTTCCCGGTTTATGATTCCAGAGATACTACAATTCAACTACTAAAGTAGAATAAATAAATTTCATTTTTAGTATCAATGTTGTTCCAGCTTTTCAAATTTTACTATTTATTTTTTCCAGTCTTATCATACACTTTATTTTTAAAACAAATAAACTGGAAGAGCAAATAATCCTCAATTTGCATGTACCAATGATGTTTTAGTTTTTCAAGTTTTAGTATTTTCTTATTCCCATTTAAAGACTACACATGTAGAAAACACATGCAACAAATCTAGATAACAAATAAAATCAAGAACAAATAATGTTCATGTACAGCTTCAGGTGCTCTTTCAGCTTTTCAAATTCTACCATTTTCTTTTTTCCCACTTAATAGAAATTAATCGACAAATAAATGAAGCAATCAAAATCGATGAACAAATCATTTTCGGACACAGGTTCTAAATAACATATACAATGCACATTGTAGAAATACAGTGAGAAATATCGGTAGGTGATCACAATGTTCTTCACCTTCAGGTTTTTGAACAGCTGCACTTTCTGTCATGATTTCGCTTTCTTTACATTCATAGCAGTCACTTGGATGAAACTTACCTTTTAGATAATCCACTTGTCAAATTTCCTTTCGCATATCCATATACAATTCGAGTCGAATGGAAAGAAGTTTCTTTCAGATTATCCCTTCTTTCGCAATTCTGCCTTTCTGTTTATTTGTCAATGTAAAAAATATGCTTAAGTTTTCTTTACTTATTTCTAATTCCCCTCCTATACCACTATCATCTCTTTTGGAACAAATGTATTGATTTCGAAGTGGCATTCCATCGAAGTCTGTCCATAAATAGTTTAAATTGGTAACAGCATCTGCATTCCAATTTTCATTAGGGATTGCCTTGTTGCTTGTCATGCTACATACAAATAGATAATTAGTTCCATTACCAATTTGAGTTTTATCCAAAGTTTGGCTTCTCCTACAGATGCTATTCGCACATTTTTCAGACGATTTTAATTGTAATTACAGACATATTTTACCTAAAATTTTTATGTTTTAAATGTTATATTTGATAACACTTAAACACTGTACTTTCTAAGTCAATAAAGCCTTTGTAGTATCAGAAGTGGTATTTTACTCCATTGCACTCGAGTCGCAGAGTCTAAGTAGGTTGTAGGGTGATGCTTGGGCAACCCACAAAATTTTTCCATTTTTGTCAGAATAAATGTTTATCATAAATAATTCTGCAGCGTGTTCTACTTTCGGCAATATGTCGTGGAGAAAGAAGATGCACATTATGTTTTCCCGCCAATGTATTTATTTCGTCAAATGTGATTCATGCGAGACAAAAGAAAAGAGTTAAATGAATAGAATTTAATAATACAATAAATCTAACTAAATTTGAATTCCCAGAAAGTTTAGAGATAGGAATCATTTAAAAATTCATATCTCAATATCTTTTAGTTTAAATTAGGGATTCCCAACTCTTTTCTTGCATTGACCCCTTTTAAAAGAATTCATTGAGGCCCTTGTATTTTCTCTATAATATACAGCATTCAACATAGTCATAATATAAATAACTGTGCATAAATAACTTAAAAATCACAATTAAACTATGAATATAAAAAATTTTTGAAAAAAAAAAGGTTTATCGGGTTTATGCTTTAGTATTTTTTGTATTACTATTATTTTAATTTTACAAATATAAACAAGTTTTCAGAAATAAAATCACAGATTCTCACTGCATAAAAGTTCCATTTACTAATCTAATGGCTGCACTTGATGAATGGATGCAATTTTTTTTAAATATTTGACATAAAATTGCTTAATTCTTAAATCACCTCTTTCAAAAGTATTCAACTTGCTGTCTGTAGTAAATCATTCTCTTGACTAAAGCTTGCTTCCACTACATAAGGAGAGGGTAAAATCAATGTTGATTAGCTAACAACTTTTATTTAGGGATATTTCTCTCAGATGAGGTTTTAATTCAAAAACTTAATGTACTTATGTGTTTTGAATGATACTTCGTTTGATATTGCTTTATATCAACACTCAATTTTTTTATAATCTATTTTAATTAATAATTTTTTGTTATCTTTGGGATATTGATTTTGTCAATCAACTGCCAATGTCTATTCAACTACCAATTCCTTGATCATTCAACCTTCTTTAAAATTTCATCGATCTCCATGGGATCAATACTGACACTGTTGGGAATATTTGGTTTAGATCAATCCTTTTTATATTAAGAAAAACTACGACACCAGATTAAAAAGAAAAAAAGGATTAGACAAAAATAGCAACAATAAAAAGAATCGCTCAAAAATTGAAAATCATTTATTTAAACAAATTTACAAATTTCAGCATCATTGTTCTAAAATACATATCTTATGAAATTTGATAAACAAAATAAGGGCATAAACAAAAGAAAATTTTCCAGATGGGTGGTTTTTATAATTTTAAATGTTATTATATTCAAAAAATTAAAATCAAATATAAGCAAGAAAAAACTATAAAATATCATAAAAATATGGTCCCAATAAATATTATGTATATTTATTACAAAATTCTATATGGAAAACATTAAAAGTATTTTCAAAATAAAAATACTCGTAAGTTTTCCATTTACACCGGCATAAAGCTTAAAATTTCATACATACACAAAAAATTAAATAAAAGGAACTATTCAGATGTTATAATGAGATCAACAGAGGAAAAAGTATGCATAGAAACTTTTAACTTCATTTTTATTACATGTACAAGATCACTTAAGTATAAAGAAAAATCATGAACGAATTAAGTCAAAATTACTAATGAAAATATAAATATGCAATGTTTCTTTAAAACTATATACTATAGTTTAATACAGGTATATCACAGGCAACATTTTTTAGAAAATTTATTCAATAGAGATCTGAAAAATCTAAAAAATCTGAACAAGATTAAAGTTAACAATTTATTCCACTTTTAAAAAATTACTTATTGTTCTTTACAGAGAAAACTTTATCACATTAAATTTTAATGCAGTTATTGACTGCAAATGGTATTTCTAAAATATATCAATCACATTATTAGATTATATGAATGGCACTTCTGTGTAATAATTTTAATGCAAAACTACACAAGAAAAAATTACAGAAAATTTTAGAAAAGGAAATTATAACACATAATTCCCATATAAGATGTTTGTTTCATCTATAAAAAAATATTTAAAAATGAAATAATGTATAAAAATGATTAACCAAAAATATACTACAAAAGCATTTACAATAATATCAAAAGAACAATATATTCCAGTAAACAAATAGTTGAATGAATATCTCTCTACCTATAATAAATTATTGATAGACAGACAAATTGCATTTAATATTTTCTTAATTAAGATTTATACTGTCTGTCTCTTTTATTTATTTTTAAGAAAGAAGTTTGCATCAGAATTAAGTATAAGAATTAAAACTTGCATAAGAATTAAGCCCTCAAAATAAGGAATATGAACTAATCTGGAAAAATTATCTTTTTCAATTACTTAAGAAAATATACTTTTAATGGAAAACTTTAATGAATTTCCTCCTATGACATAGAATCAGAAAATATTGCATAAACTTATTAAATGAGTAACTTTACACATAAACACACTCTTGATTCTTGTCTGACACTGGACATAATCTGATTTTACATATACTATATATATATAAAATAAACAATAAATTTCATTTTCATTCCTCATATTTAAATATTATTTTCATTTTACAGAAACTGTCTCAATCTTTTCATATTTCACAGAACTTTTGAAATATTTCACTAGCAAAATTTTTGTATGCTAACATTTAAATGCAATATACCTGGTACACATTTTTATTTACATTTCCAAACATTCAAATAACAAGGTCATATCAACAAATGCATTTAAATAATTAGAACAGCAAAAGATTAAAGTTACATGAAATACCTTTCAGCAATTCTCTTTTGAGTCAGTCCTTAAAAACTATATATGCACACACATAAAACATACATAAAAATATTCTTTTGACAGTCATCTGTAGAAATTAAGAATATGTGAAAGGAAAAAAAAAGGGGGGGGCAAGCAATCATTATACTATCTTATAATACAATTATTATCTCAGCACCTTTTGAAAAAGGATATTATTTACAAGTATATATTACAATATAAAAAATTAGAATTTCTTTTCAGGCACTTAACACGCTCACACAAATGACCCAGACAAAAACATTTTAATGATCATCATATGCGAAGATAAATATGGCTATGTACAATTGCACTCTGAAATAATATTTATGATTTTCTTCTTCACATAATACACTTTTTACAGGTTAGCTGACTAATTAGGAATGGTAGAAAATATAGGGATATGTTTCTTGAACAGCTGAATACTAATACAAGAGGTCTTTTTGGCATGGAGAAATATTAAGCATTAGAAAAATTGATGTAGCAATCCTTTAATAATAAAATCTTGTAAATAATAACTACTTACAGAAAAATTCAGAAAAATAATGAAATGTAAGAAATATATTCAAAACTCTTTTTAATCTAACCACCTAATTAGCCAGCACAAAAAAGTCAATAGCGGTTATTGCATAGAGATTTATTCATTTATTATATATATATAATGATATAATGCATTAAAATTATATATATGTGATCATTATAAGAACTCAAAAAGGGTCAGTAGAAACTGCCAGGCTCACTTAGAATGTAAATTCTGTGCTATAGCAAAAATAGCATTATATACACAGTAAAATTGGTTAAAATTGTTTTGTGACTGTTATAAACATAAATCTTTATCCAAAGATAGTAAACATTCAAAAATATTATTAATTACAATATATAAAAATAGGCTTACCATAGCAATATGATAAAAAATTAAGACAGTAGATTATATTTATTGAGATGATTGCTATATTAATGGGTTTTTTCCTTGTTACTGTTTCCCATACACACAGCAGCATTAAAAAATACTAAACAATGAAGAAAAAACAGGAATTGTACTAAATGAACCCGTAAAATAAAAGTCCTTATTCATTATAACTTTCAATCAAGTCTGTGATATAAAGAGATTATTATGCAAAATACATTTCATGTAATTATTACAACCTTTTTCAAAGAAGTTTTAGTATGGAATATAATTTATTAAATCTTCGTAATTCTAGCAAAAAATATAACTTAATTATGTTTAATTAAATTTTTGACTATTATTAATTATTCTTAAAACATTTTTTTTATATTTAGTTATTCTTAATGTAAAATTATTTACTTGTCCTGAAAAGATAACATTTAACAATTAATAACTTAAAAACACCTTAAGCAAATTTTACTGCATATAAATGACATATATTCATAAGTATATAATAATCTGAATTAACTGTACAAAAAAAGATTCATGTTTAAAATAAAAACATAAAAAACATTTTTGTGCAATGGCATGGTCTATTTTCGAATAATTTAAGCATTAGCTTTCGTATACCATTTGTCTAGAAATATTAAATGAATTAGGTCTAACAAGACCTTTTTGAAGCAAGGCACCTTTTTGAGAAGGCATTCTGAATTTTACAAAAATTGCTAACCTCTCTAATAAATCAATAAAGTTCCATAATCCTTTTTTCTTTAAAAAGGCTATGATGTTTCTACAAATCAGCTATCTGAACGATGTTGTTAAAAAGGAACAAATGATGTATACCATTAACAAATACAATGCAGAAACATCAAATGGCACAAACTGAGTCATTATATAGGGAAAATAAACAATTTTCAAAGCTCTAGTTCATCCATAGCATGGGACAGTCTAATATTTTCTTGCCTACGTCTCTGACTTCTCCGTACTGCATCAGCACGTCTATAAGGCTCACTTTTTAAACCTGCAACACAGTTAAAATTTGAATGTAAGAAAACAGTATTGTCATAATAATAAACTATGTGCATTTTTTTTTCAGTTAATATAATGTTACATTTCTCAGTCACACTCCAAAAGATCAATAATATGTCAAACTATTATCAACAGTTCTTTTTATGTATTAAGAATGTTTATCTATTTACCTCATTGTCTTTTATATCTAATAATTTTTCTTATTATATATTACTTACTACCAATCACCCTTCTAATTAATAAATGCATATATTGTTAGTAACTGCAATACAAAAAGAGTATGCTGTCATACTTTTCTCCTGGACACAATTCAACTATATTTATTTTTGGCTTATATAAGAGCTGATTGGGAAATTTTAAAATTGTGTAGGAATCCTGAAGGCCAATCAGATGCTTGCACCATGGAACAGTTAAAACATACATAACAATCACACTGCACTATTTCAATAATGGAAAAGTTTTAAATTGACACAAAGTAGATCTACAGCTGAACTCCAAGGTGATCTACTATAATCAAGGGCATATAGAACTTGTCATGGTGCACTTCCAATCTGTGCTATTAGATGTCGATATAAGCATATAGCACAGAAAGTTGAAAAGCAAGCATAATGCCTTGGGTTCATCACACCTGTCTCTACTTCTTCTGCCTCATACTAGATGTGGCAAACCCAGAGCTGGCATCAGAAGCAGATAGCATAACCAAACCAGATAGCATATTTTAGGGGTGGCAAAATTTTTACAATTTAGAAAGGGGCCGGGTAGCAGAATTTCTGAGTTGTAGATTTTGCGCCACTTCTTGCAAAATCTACAAGTCTAATGTAGCCATGGGCGAGTATGTACTGGATTTTGCGAAGGTTATATATCAACGTGTTTGAATGCCCAGTAGGTCAACCACAGTTTTTAATATTCAATCTCAATGAAGGGAAGTATATTCTGTTATTGCAGATGAAAAAGATGTCTCTGTGAAAACATGCATTGGATATGACTGAGTTTTGTAGAGTAGAACCCCAATTATCCAAATTTTGATTAACAGAGTTTCTGCGTTATCCAAGACTTAAAATAATATTAACTGCAATAAAAATATATTTTTTAAAAATCATTAAAATAGCCTTGCTCAAAAAGCAAACAATCTGTAGAAATCAGTTTTAGCAATAATTCAAGCTTTAAAGTTAAGAATTCCATCTTTACCCTGTTTCAGAATACAAGATTAGGAACAATTTGAGCTGTCTGATGAAACTACTGTAAATATAGTTACACACAATGAAATTTCTAATGATGATGACATGGGAATGTTCAAACCAAGATCAATCCTACTGATGACTAACATGATTGAAAAGATGCTGCTTTACACAGTATATCAAGACAATACATCACCAGCCAATATCATGATGTTATAAAAACTGTCTATGCAGTAGGGCGGAAAGAGAAGGCTGTTAACTAAATTTTTAAAAATGTGTGACATGTTATGCTACTGTACTCATTTGTATTACAGGTGCCATATCATATTTAATTTTACATGTATATCTATACAAATGAACTGCATGTTTTATATCAGTGCATACTAGCATTAATCACGAATGTTTGTAATAATTTATATATGCATACAACTACATATATGTTAATTAATTCTTTATAGTACATCCAATAAGACTACAGTATTACAATTTTCTTTGTATCAATCCATGCTACATAGTTATTATGTAGAATTAGTCCACATTAGATCAGATAACTGGGGTTCTACTGTTTATAAAATGGCAGCAGCCATAATAAAATACTTGAAAATATCATAGTTAACCATGTTTTAATGTTTCAATAATGCTGTAGCATTTTTAACATAGAGATATGCCAATTATTTAAAGTACATTTTGGCAAGCCATCCATTGCAGTACAGGTATTAAAATTGCCAATTCATAGATAGACAATAACTAGCTGATGATGTTCTTGACATCCCGAAAACCCACACAATAGAGCTATGATGAAGAAATGACTAGATTGTTTTCAAGAAAGAGTGCCGTTTCTCCACGATAATGCTCTTGTGTCTGCTGCTTCTGTGCATCAGCCAACACAGTCTGAAGTTGATGGGATATCTCTAAAATATCTTTTCATACAGCCTGGATTTAGTACTAGGTGATTTCTAGGCATTCTGAACACTAAACATTTTGCAGAAAGAAATTTTGTTTATGAAATAAAAAAGTGAAAAGCATCATGACTAAAATGAGGGGGGAGGGAGTCTCAAAAAAGTCTATTTCACATTTTTGAATTATCAACAAAATGCTACATAAAAAGTATAATTTAGCTTAAAAAGACTCTCTCTACCTTGAAAAAGAAAAACCCCATAAAATCATCTGATTAAAAATAATTCGCATAAAAGAGCTGTATTGTGTATGTTGAGATCTCTAAACAAGAGCCCCTGCTGTAAGATGAAGGGCATTCTCAAACTGGGTTTCCAGTTAAAATAATTCTGATCAGACAGCATGGTTAATGTCCAAAGGTCAATTTTTTTTTTTTTTTTTTTTGCTCCTATTTTAGGGAAGCTGAGAAAGATCACCTCCCAGCTCCAGGTAAGGCTTGCAGGCATCAGGCCAGAGTTTCATAGAGTCCTTAAAATGGGATTCATTTTCGTTGAACTCGCCGCTCTGTCTAATATGAGGTTGCGCAAAGAAGGATTTAACTCTACAGTCATTCTTATCAGCAGCAGCAATGTTAAAAACTTATTATTATGCATTACTGCAGCTGTCCCTTAAGTGCAGATTTTAAGTGAACCATGACTAGTTTCTATAAAATTAGTTAATGCAATATCCTATTTTCTTTCAAATCATGATTGTCTTTTTAATTTTCATTAATCTTTCTCTAATTTAAATGCTTACTGCACACCACTGATTTGCTGTTATGGTATTGCATGGACAACAGTTTCTTATCACAGGCAGACAGAAAAGACCAGATAACCCAGAAAGAGTCAGTTGTCTGTTGATCGTATTAACAATAACTTGTACAGTGTGCTCTTGATTATCCAGATTAATGCTGAGAAAGCGCATCACAGATAATGCTAACTATAAATTTTCGTGCACATTTCGTGTGTCTTTATTTCTTAACAAAAAAAAAAAAAAAAAAAAAAAAAAAAAAAGAAAAAAAAAAAAGAAAGAAAGCACATTTTTTTAAGTGTTATTTTATTATTATATTCGAATCCCCTTTGGTTGATGAAGTCCAATAGAATTTCAGCAGAAGTTGTTGCTGTTTTGAGACTAATGTAATGTCAGTATCTTCTTCATTTATATTTTCAGTACCATTCTATACTTCTGTTCTTGTGACATTTTAAATGATATCTGCAAAACTCAAGCATTGAAACCCCAGATTGGTCGAATCACCATTGAGCCATCCCTTGATGTTTTCATGACCGATATTTTCAGATTTTTGGCATTACAACTTCAGTTACTGTGCCAGCTTCTTCCCAACTAGATAAATCTCCGATTTAAATACTGAGAATAATCTTTCACCATCGAACCAATGTTAGTGATTTTACTTTTGATCACGCTTTCCCTATTCTGAGTATGGCATCCAGTACATAGAGACATGCCAATCACTTTTTAATGCCAACTTTTGCCAGAACTTCAATAAATCATCATCTTTCTTAGTTAGCATGAGTTATGAGAAGACCAGAATGGTAAAGTCATCTCATTGATGATATTACACCTTCGTCCAACGGCTGAATTAAACTGGTAACTGTATAAGGTATTTCTCTTGTTTTCTTGGCATGCCTTCAAGGTGTAGTGGTCAGCACACTCAACGCAAATTTGAGAAGTCCATGGTTCGAGTCCCGGCAAGGGCATTGCTCATTTTTTATGTCTCCTTCTCTTTCAAAAAAATAACCTAATGTCTCTACAGTGGTGCACGAACTAAAAGGTGGTGAATGATGCTTCTCACCACCAGGATTTGGCGGTTGGGTCCCTTAAAACCCCAGTCGCATTTTAAAAGGGGGAGTATATAAAGTATTTCTCCTGTCTTCTTGGTGTAGTCGTCAGCACGTTCGATGCGAATTCGAGAGGTCTGTGGTATGAGTCATGGCGACGGCATTGCTAATTTTTCATCTCTGCTGCTGTGAAAAAATAACCTAATGTCTCTACAACTGAGTGTGCATGAATGAGCACCACCATGCACAGATAATCGAGAGTACACTGTATTTCATGTTTTAAATTTTATTAAAACTTTATTTAGGATAATTCTTTCACCAATAGTTTCTAAAAAATAACATAAATATTTACAGGCCAAATTAGTGCTACAGATCATAAATCCCATCTATTATACTATTTGCAAGTATTCCCCAAAATAAAATTTTAACAAGTAAAAATTCTATTGGTTTTATTATCTTGTTATGCTGCATATTTTTTGTATATTCAGATGTACATTGCAGATTATTTAGATCCACATACTTATGACTTGGATGCATATTGTTTCAGCTGAACATTTAATGAGAAGTAAAGCAATAAAGATTAATTACCTAATAAAATGTCTTCAAGTGCACCATTATACACTTCATCTTGCTTCAGCAAACGAGTTTCCTTCACTTGCCTTGTTTTGCTTTTCAGCTCATTAATCACAGCTTCCTAAAATTAAACATATAAAAGATAACTTTTATAAATAATTTAATTAAAAGGCAGTATAATATAATAATTTAAATTTACACATATGTAACAGATTAGCAATGAATATTTAAAGAATATATTTTACATGAGTTAAAAATTATTTTCTGAAAATGTTCTTAAAATAATTCTTTTAATAATATCTCACTGCATGTAAAGTAACATTTTATAAGAATACTGAAATGAAGTACAGCTATAAGCCAGCTTTATAAATATTCCCTTTGATTTTATAAAAGACTTATACCAGTATATTTTTTAAGTAACAAAAATTTTATTAGAGACACCCACTTCTATAAAAAGACCAAAAAGCAAAAATACAGTACAGTTTTTTTTTTTTTAAACACAGCTACTACAAAAAAAGTGTAACTGTGAGACAGTATTCTGGTTCAGAACAATTTTGCTGGTTGTTTTGATTACTAATGAAGAATTTTATGAAACAGATATGCAGCAGACTAAATAATCACATATACTTTAGTATTTCAAGTTTTCCACATCCACTTAAGAATGCTACAAAACTTGTTATGACAACAATATTATGACAAGCACAGTGATGGCTTGTTTCATTTCATTATGGCAAAGCACAAGAGATCTATCTGCTTAAAGGGAGGGATGCCATTGTGGAGGAATTTCTAAAGGAAACTAGCTCATTCAAGTAAACAAACAGAACTCAGCTCTTTAACTCGCCACATAAAACAAACATTCCCATTTCTGATATCCCTTCGAATCTTTTATTATTATTATTATTCTTTTCGCAACTATGCACGGTCTTTTAGGGTTCTTATGTAGGGTTCTGTAATGCTTTGCGTTACTTTTATTGTTTATATTTTGTGTACTTCAATTTGTTTTTCAGAAAGCCTTGACTTCAGTCTACTATGCACAGCAAGCATTATTTATCAGAGGAAGGATATACCTACATGCTAAATAAGCCAATTAGTGACATGGATGAGAGTGATGATTCATTTCTAAAATGTTAGGGAGTGATATTTCTAGTGATTTTTATATGGACATTTTGTTATAGAGTGAGCTCACAGATCGCCTGCCTTCCGTTTCCCATGAAAGATTTTGTAATTTCTTTTTGTAAATATTCTTCTTTGTATTTCTTTTATTAATTTTAAAGTTTATTAATGTATTTTATCAATTAAAACTTGTAAATAATTTGAATGACAATTCCAAAAATTCTCAAAATAAGCAATTTTTTTAAAAATATATTTTCATGTAAAGTAACAGAAAAAGATTATTCAATGGTAATTTTAATGTACATGATAGCTTAAGTAATAAACTTAAACAGCACCAAAAATTATGACCTCACAACATAAATATATTTTGTGTGATTTTTTCTAAACCTAGTCTTAACAATGTCTGTGAGAATTCCATTCTGTGGGAAGATTCGATTTCCTTCCTATCCATGCCAAAGGAACATTTAAACAAAGGCATGGCATCTCAAAAAGGTTAAAATATCAAAAGCAGAAAAAAAAAAAAAAAAAGTGACAATTAACTGAATGCCTTAATCTGATACATAATACAAAAACACACACCTTTAATTAAAAAGATATCTGCTGTTGCTGCTCCTTAAAAAATGAATAAATATTCTGGAATAACTATAGAAAACTATGTTCAGTATAAGAAATGCCACATGTACTTTAAATTTCTTTACTAATAAGAATTATTTATTGTTGTTACCAAAACTTTAAAAATATTGCTACTTACTTGATTATTTTTCCTAGAATTCAAGCTATTCTTTTTTGATATACTTTCTGCAGCATGCCTTTCACTTTCTCGTGCTGCTGCTTCTTGTTGTCTTTTCCTTGCTTCATTTTCTAATTCAGCTTGCTGCACGTCAAGGAATTCATAACGATTAATGATAATATAATGTTATCATAAACAGCAGTGATAATACAGTCTGAAATATGGACATTCACTAACCAATAATCAGAATAATCTATTATCTAGACATCCTATAAAACTCGTAACATTTTTTTTTTTTGAATAATCCTGTAAATAGTTTTTGGCTTCAAACACCTGCTGGCTAAGAATGACAGTTTCATTTTTGGCTCTGAAATGACTGTGGTGGCATTTTATTGTCTTATCTCCCCCTGTACACAAGTGAATGCTGAAGACTTTCTTCATTGGCACAGCAAGAAAGATGATTATGATGACACACAGCAGGGAAGAAAACTGTGATGTGATGACAATTTGCCAATCGTCAACTAATGAATGGATGGCAAAACATGTAGTATACATTAAATTCTGAAAATATCGCCATCACCTTGTGAAGAAAGAGATAATGAGGTAATTGAGAATGAAAAGATTTCAAATGATTATTTAATGGGAATTCGGAGTTATAGGATTTGAAAAATGAAACTTTGTAACCGAACAAGAAAATTACGTCTATTGATAAAATTAGAGAGAAAGTATTAACACATAAAACGAAACTGCATAAACAACTTACGTTTTTTGGGGTAAGAGAAGTTAATATTAAGTGGTTTCTTTCTGTGTGTACGTTAATTTTTTCCCTTAATATAAAATAATGTATAAATGATATAAAAACCAAAAAAGTTTTCATATTTTTTATTTCATAATTTCTACATGTAATCTTACTAAATTCCTGATCAAAAATTCAAAATCGTCAAAGTCCTGACTATTATGAATTTGACACTTCAATTCTCTAACACTATCTATCAAGTGGGAAAATAGTTACTTTGGAAGTTTTTAAAAAGTATCAAAGCTTTTGAGAAATTTCTGTTCTTGTGACTATTAATATCTCAGAATGAACATTATGTGTAACTGCATAGATATCAATTTATCTAAAAATAATTCTAAAAAGATATGATGTATATGCAAAGCAGACTATTTATATTTTGTGTATATTTGTCATTGTACCTGGTGAAGCTAGCTTGGAAAAGTGTGTATAAAAAGATGGATTAATTAACTTTATTTTATTATTATTTTACAGGGCAGCCAGTATTTAAGCTTTAGAGTCTGACAATAGCAGCTTTCAACACAGTTAGTTATTAAAATTTAATGTTCTTGTGAAAACAGAAAATGGTATGGTTTGGTTTGGTTGATTACGGCAAAGCACACTAGAGCTATCTGCCTAAGAGGAGGGATGCTTTTGTAGAGGACTTCATATGGAAAACTGGCTTGTAAACACGTTACACATGGGGAAAGCCACGAAAATACCCATGCAGCCAGCCCGTATGCCTGGAATTGAACCCAGGTCAGAATTACCAGTGTTCAGCGATTTTACTGCTTGGCTGCTGGTGGGCCCTGAAAACAGAAGTGTTATGACATTACAGCATCATTTTGAGTTAATAACACGGTGCTAAAACATGGATTTAATTTGAAAGGATTTTGGAGCTATGATTAAATATGAATCATGATAAACTTTCACAGGACATCAGTAATTTACAAAATGGTCATAGAGGTTTAGTTCCATTGAACAATTGTACAGTTTCATTCCAATTTTGATCAAGCACACTCCGGAAGAATGATCCGAGGTCTGCTGCCCCTCTTTCTTTACCACTTTGAACTGAAGCATTTCAAATTAACCCTTTTCACATGATTCCTATGTAATGCTAATGATGCAGGTACTTACAGAACACTTCAAGAAATTGCAAAACTCATATCTGTGAACTGAACTTACGTTAACCAATCGAATGAAGTTCAACTAAAATTGAATTAGTCTTATTTAGACTTTCAAACTGTAATTTGCATATTCCACCTGCATTTTTCTTCCTTTTTATGAAGTTCGAGCTTGCTATTAAGGCTTTTTTAATTTATTGCACATACATCATAAAAATGTGGATATGAATTATATAATGAGCATATATCTTTTATTTATTTAGTTGCAGTTAAATCAGAAAATTATTTTATCAGCAATTAAAAAAAGAATTCAGCTAAGCAATGACTGCTGCACATCTTCATGCATTTCCATCATCCACCATCTAAATTCTTACAGTTTATCGTGTTGTCATCAAAATGTTCTCTGTCTCTCTCTCTATGTATATATGCATACATACATACACACGTTCAAACCCTGCTACAGCCAAACTGGCTTATAACAGATAAATAAACATAAAATTTTGTCATATAAATGGACGTTTTGTCCTATTCAATTTCCTATAATATTGTACATAATTTTATACGGCTACAGTGAACTTCCTAATGTATAAAAATTAAATATAGTTAACTTTGTTGACATCTTGGTCTGAAAATTTTTTGTATTTTCAAAATTTTTCCAGAATTTCAGCGATTTTGACTAAAAAGTTACTGACTTAAATTCATCTTTTTTAGATTATTAGAATGAAAAAAAAACATTTATAAGTTACTCTTTTTTTATCTTCATTCCCACTGCACTAAGCCAACGAATCACTGATGCATTGAGAAAAGGAGCTTGAATCAGCTCTTTGACTGAGATGTCAGACAGCACTGTTCAAGGCTAATGTTTATTCATAACTTTAAATGCGCTTTTTAAGTGAAACAGTGTAATGGAAGAGATGGGTTCAAACAAGGACTTTTAAGCTAAGCAAATTTCCGTATAAAATTAGTAACATATGGTAAAACTGGAAAACAACAAAAAAGAAATTTAGTAACTGTGTGTAATAATAACTATAGTTAACAATAAATGTATTTTTTATATTCAAGTTACTAGTCACATCTTCTGGGAACTGTCTAATTCGTCTTATCAACTTTTACACTATTTTGTTAGATATTCCCTTTTTTTCCCTTACAAAATTGGATACAGCAAACCAAACTTTCAGTCCCCTTAAATTCGTTATAGCGGAGTTCGACTGCATATAAATATTGTATGTGTATTTAAATTTATCTAGACAAGAAAACATAACACAGAGAAATTTTCGAAGTATTGTAAGTGTATATGTAAATACTGCATATGCATACTGCATGTGTATCTAAATTCATCTAGACAATAAAATATTAGAGAAATTTTTGAAAGAAACCTTACCTTAAAAGCTTTAGTGAATCGTACAAACAGTGAAAAGAAAGTATTGGCAGCAATAGAGCGAACACTGTCTCCAAAATACTCTACACAATCAGAATAGGCATCCTGTGGATTTGAGAAATAGCTGCATTACTTGAGTATATTTTCTCAAAAATTACATAATTAAAATTAACATCAAGTTACAAAAAATAACATACCATTGCAAATATTTTAAACCTTTTTATTGTATTTTTAATTATCTGTATTGTTGTAATATTTTGTATGCTTATTCATTTTATTTACTTATTGTTTTTTATAATGGTAATTTTATGGTTTATTTTGTGTTTAATGTAATTTGTGGCCACATGTCTTGTATTGTTGTTTAGAATTATAGATCTTTTAATTTTGAAGGCAACAGCTTTGGAATTGAAAAATTGTTTAATTAGAACTTGAGATACAGGCAGTTTAATTCCTGAGGAGAATTCCTGACAATTTTTGCAACATCAGATCTATCGCCAACTTGGCAACTTTCTGAAAGATTTACGAAAACACATTTTCAAAGACCTACAACAGCTTCTTCCAGAAGTTTCCATAGACACTATTGGCAGAATATAAATATGGGTCGGAGAACAGGGAGTTCAACCATGAAACAGTTGTGAATCAAATGCGAGACTTAGTGGTTAGCTGAACTATGAAATAATCCTGAGAATGATTAGAGTAACTTTATGATTGTTACTCCTTAGCACATGATATATTTCATGTGTTAGGAATTATGGAATTATAGAATTATTCATTATATAATTATTCATTTATTATGTTATTGTGCCTTCTCCTCAAGTTATTTCCATTATTATTGTGCTGTGTAGATGATTTATTGTACCTATTTTCCTAATAAATTGTTAATTTCTTTCTGCTTATCTATTATTACTCAAAGAAAAATTAATGATCCTGTAGCTTACAACATTTGCTGTCAAAATTAGGGATTTCTTTGAATGACAGTAACCAGAAGGATAGAAGAACAGTTAAAAGCTACAATGGAAATTGTTCCAGTACACAGGAACAGAACTACTCAATGTAATTCTGTTTCGCTTTGGCACTATGCCAAAGAACATTAATTCAGTTGAACTGTCGGACTCAGACATTCACATATGCAAGGCAACTAGAATGCTGTTTATTTTTCATTATTTTTGTTCTTGCATCTACAAGTTTTATATGTCATTTTCTTGTTTATATTTATATATTGTGTAACTACTCAATATAAGTTTTGTGTTTTAAAAAGAGGATATGTATCCAATTCATTCACATTACATTGCAACAGAAATGATGGACGCAAGTTCTGCTGAGACAAAGAACTTTATCAATGGAAATGCCACTAAACTGAAAACAAACATGAAGACCTTGATAGAAGCAAATGCTGCAGAAATGAAGGCAACATGCCAGCTCAGCCTGCTTTAATGTTCCATCTAATTCTGCTCCGAAAAACATTTCAGCCATCTTGTCCCACAATAAAAGCTCTCATCATATGATGGGAAGTAATCTTTGAATGTGCATAAAACATTATTCCAGATTTTTCAAGCAAATCAATGGGACCCAGGCACCAAAGCATAAAACTTAGTAGGTTGTTTACAAGGCGAGGAAATGGACAATTCACCGACACTGCCACCTGAAAAAATTTCAGATAGTGGACACCTTAATTAATGCTTTAGAATTGCAATTTAGTGAAACATTCCTTAAGGATTATCACAGACTGCAGCTTGAGAATCGAAAGCAGAAAGCAAAAGAGACCCTTCCAAAACTGGCAACTGAAAAGTTAACACATTTCTTTATACAGTCATGAAATTAAAGACACACTGAGTGGCAGTCAGGATCCATTATTTGTTGATGCAGTCAGGTATCCTGAAATATGCAAGCACTCTAGATAGTGGATAATAAAGACCTGAAGAGGGCTTTAGTAAAACCATGAAAATAAAAAGGATGGAGACAGTTCTAAAAAGACTCTCATATGAGGCATGCCTTGTGTATTTTGACATTATTATTGGATATACTTTTGAAAAACATTTAAAAAAAAAAACACCAAAAACGAGCTGCAGAAACTCAGTCCTTTTGAAATGTACATTATATAGTCGAGAAATTTAGCTACCTTGGTCACATTATCTCCTCAAAGGTGTACACACAGATCCTCAGAAAATCAATACTTTATGGCTGGTGTTGTCCTCAAGACATTCATCAGTTAAGAGGCCTTCTTAATCTCTCAACTTACTGCAGAAGTTTGTCAAAAGTTTCTCTCAAATCACAAGGCCTAACAGAAGCCAACTTTCATTGACTGAAACCCTAAAGGATGTTTTCTTAAGCCAACTTTCATCGACTGAAACCCTAAAGCAGTGGTGCCCAACCTTTGGCGTCTTGCAAGCACATTTTGGCCTATTGCGAGCACATTTCCAAAACATCAACATTTTTGTTAAACATATTTGCAATCTTATGTGATACATCTGAAATATTAATTTCAGCAAATGTGTTTGAAATGAATAATTGAAATAATTGGTTGAGATAATAAATGATAATAATTGGTTAAACTTTATGGAAATCAGAGAAGTGGAGTTCAAAATTATTTTTTCAGTGCATTTAGGTTTTCCGAGTATTTCTCTGTTTCAATTGCCTTGTGGTTATTAATATGGCTTGATAAATTCTGAAAATGGGTAAAATATTTTCCTTTCATCTGATTTATCCACAAATTTATCTGAAAAGCAGTTACAGTCCCAGTCAATTGAAAAAGGTTTTTTTTTTTTTTTTTTTCCTGGAGATCTTCGTTCAGTTTGTTCAGTTTAGCTGTTATCCGTGAGAAAATACAGATCGGATAACCAATTATTATCGTCCAATTTTTAATAACTTTCATTTCCGAATTCCAAAAACTGCTTTATTGGCGAAAGAAGTTCTACAAATCATTGAAGTACTTTTCCCCTGCTGAGCCATCTAACATCGGAATGATGCAATAAGATTCCATGTTCACTATCAAGTTCCTCAGTCAGCAATCAGTTATTTTATAACGTATTGAAAGATATCTTTTATGACTATAAATGCTTACCATATTTTAACAATTAAGAAATATAAATGGAATGGCTATTTTAAAAAACATTTTTTGTTTATGGTACCTAATCGAGCTGGCAAGCACATACAAAACGATTGGCGAGCACAAGGTTGGGCACTGCTGCCCTAAAGGATGCTTTCTTAACCCTCTCAGCGTTAAGGCCGGAAAATTTCGTACAGAAGGTTGCCTTCCACACTCATTATACATGAAAATTTCTGCTAGCTTTTAATGTATCTGATTTCAGTTTGGATGTATATTGGAAGAAAAGGAATCAAGGTACAAAATGAAAGAGTCATTTTAATTAAAATCAAGAAAATATCACTTATTAATGACATTTTTAGGAACTTTGAAATTTCAGGGTGAAACCCGTAATGCTCAGAGGGTTAATATGACTTTATTCTTGATACCAATGCCAGTAATGAAGGAACTGCTCTTTCATGAGAATCTAGTGGCCATGGGTACATAATTGCCTATTTTATTGTTAATTTCTCTAAACCAGAAAGAAATTACTGTGCCAACAGAAAAATCCTGTTAGCCAATGTGAAGGCAGTAGAACATTTCTACCACTACCTCTATTCTCGGATATTCCTGTTGCGCACCGGCCATGCATCATTAAGTTGGCTTAGTTTAAAAAATTTGGACAGTATCTATAGAAATTTGTAATTTGGGTATTTGTAATTATTAGAAATTTGTAATTTGTAAATTTGGATAGATGGATACAGCATCTATAGGTTTGGTTTGTTTTGGTTTGGTTTATTTAATTATGGCAAAGCACACTAGGGCTATCTGTCTAAGGAAAGGGATGCCTTCCTGGAGGCCTTTCTAAGGGAAACTGACTCGTATACACATTACACATGGGGAAAACGACGAAAATGCCTATGCAGCCAGCCCATTCGCGGGATTCGGACCTCAGACCAAACTGCCAGTGTTCAGCGACTTTACTGCTCGGCCGCTGGTGGGCCTACAGCATCTATAAAAATGAGACGAAAATTCAACATCACAAAGGAATTTTAGATGAGAATACTGATGCACTTTTGAGAAGATCTTGTCCAGAAAAGTGGAAACACTGTTTGAAAGTCAAGTTAAAATATGGCTTCCAGTTGTCAGACAAATTAACACAGACTCCTTAACATCAGGGTATGATCTCCGGAGCAACAAAGAGCTGAGAAAGGCCCAAATGGAAGATCTTGATTTGTGGCCATTATTGGAATTAATGGAAACCACAAACAAGGAACTTAGGTGGCAAGAAATGGTACCCTTTGGCAAGATGACAGAAAGATACTAGGCTTTGTGGAATTTTCTTTACCTGTGAGATGGAGTTGTTTACACAAATGGGTAATTGGCAATGTAAAGAGCTCCAAATAGCAGCTCACCTTACTGAGATCTAGAATGCATATTGCTCTGTCAGCAGAGCAGCCTTACTGGAGGTTATTTTGATGTAACAAAGACATTCCACAAAATTTGAAAATATTTATCCAGATATAGAAATGTGCTGCAAATCACGTGACGCAAGCGAAGCTCAAAAAGGCCTGGAATCACATACACAAGAAAGAATTATTACAGCATCATAATGTGGGAACACCATTCAAGAGGACTGCTTTGGACATTCAAGGACCTTTACCTTGTACAAATAAGGGCATATCCTAGTTGTCATGGCCTACTTTAGTAAATGACCTGAAGCATATGCCATCCCCGATCAAGAAACTTCCACTGTTGTAAAAAATTTAGAGAAAAACTGGACTGCACAATTTGGAATATCTTTTCTTATTCTTTCTGAACCAAGAAGCAAACTTCACACCATCCATATTTAAAGGACTCTGTAAAATTCTCAGAATAGAGAAACACTATTCCATTACATTCACAGTCAGATGGCATCTTGGAGAGATTCAGTCGAATAATAGTAAACCATCTCTATTTATTTCTCAGAGCCAGCAGGGCTGGGATCAAAAACTGCCATTATTCCTGCTAGCTTACAGGAGTGTCATTTATGAGAGCACTGGATTTTTGTCATCGCAAATGATTTTTGCCTGTTATCTTCATCTGCCATGTGACCTGCTCTTTGGACAACTTCCGGCCATGCCTTATTTCCCTAAGCAGTACCTGGAAGAACAGCAGGAATGTTTAGAAGATGTTCATTGCAAATCAAAGGAGAGGCACTTCAAGGAATGTGATCACATCTGGCTATACAACCCAAAGCAACGCTGCAGAATCTCTTCTAAGCTACAGTAATTCTGGGAAGCACCTTACCATGAGATCAAGAAACTGAACAACAGAGCAGTGCACATACAAAGAACGCTTTAATCAAAACCTCAAGTAGTACACTCTGACACGCTTGCATCTTACAATAGTAATGAGAATTAGTTACTTTCATCTTGAGGATAGCACTCCCAGGATGTGCAGTACTTAAGGAGGGGGCAATGTTGCAAACATCTGCAAATATTTTAATTCTTTTTACTACATTTTCGGTTTTCTCTATTGTTGTAATATTTGTAATCTTTCATTTACTTATTGTATTTATTTATTGTTTTTATAATGGTAATTTTATTGTTTATCTTCTGTTAAATGGAATTTGTGGTCATATGTCTTTTATCTAAGTGTTTATTTGCTGCACTTGTTATTTGCAAGAATTATAGATCTTTTAATTCTGAATGCAACAATTTAAGAATTGTAAAAACAGCTCAATTGGAACAAGTTTACGCAATTTAATTTCTGTGGGGTCTTAAGAGCAATTTTTATTGCTAAGTTGGCAAAACTTGCAGTTTTCTGGAAGATTTGCAAAAGTATATTTTTGAAGTCCTGTGTTCGATTCTTTCCAAAGTTTCCAAAACCCCTGCAGCAGATTATAAATACTGGTCAGAGAGCTGGGGAATGAGCTGTGAATGAGCCGTAAGTCTGCTGCGAGACTTACCGATTAGCTGATTAATGAGTTAGGGTTTACCCTGAAGGTGATATGAGGAAGGTTACAATTTATTTCCTGTGTTAATGAGAAACTGTTTTATACTTGCATTCTCCTTGGGTTATTCCTAGCCATTATTTATTGCACTTATTTTCCCAATACATTTTTTACTTCTTCCTGCTTATTTTGACTTTTTCCTAAAAGAAACATCGATAATCCTGTAGCTAGCAACAATATCATTGTTCAATCATTTGTTCATTTGTTCTTTAGTTTTTTAAATGCTATATAAATTTTAATATTATTAATATGCCTTCAATTTTTTTCAGTGATGAACTCTTCAGCATATTTGACCATTACATGCTGTCCTCAGACTGCATTTTTTTTTACTTTTATTTTATTTTAAAAATTTATTTTGACACCACTGCTCTAAAAAATGTGAAAGAATCAAAAGCATACAAACTAGACTATCAATGTTTAACATGTGGATTTCGTTCATTTTTATACTGATTGCAGAATCAGGATATATTCTGAAATACCTAGTTTTTTTTTCTAGTATTGAAAAAAATAAATGATTTCATTATTTTCTGATTAAAGAATTAAACTTTATCTGTATAAAATTATTATAGCTATATACAGAAGTTGTAAATAACAATAAAGTTAACAAAAGTTGTATAATCTTATTCACTCTACCAAAAAATTACCTGAGCAGTTTTGGTATCGTTTTTAAGTTTTCTCAATTTGTCTTCAGTACTGCTTAAGAATTCTTTAAGGACTGCAGCATCTCTAGCATCCCTCCTCAACTGCATTTCTTTTTTACATAATTCCATGCCTTTCTCCAATTCATGAACATCAGTCAAAACATTCTCCATGGAAACTATTAAAAACATTATAATACCATAAATTCCTTTTATCAAAACTTTTTGTCAATATAGTTTTCTCAAAATTATCTTTTGCTCACAAAAATAACAATTACTGTCATTGATTAATGTTTTTATATAAATTAAACAAAGAATGAATAACAAACACTGACTCTAGAACAGAGTTTCTTAACTGTGGGTAGCAACCCCAGTTGGGATCATGGGACCTACAGTAGAGGGTCGCCAAAAATGTTAGCAATTTTGATATTTAACTTATTATAATAATTTTATAATTACCAATTATTTTTACATAATGTGTCTGAAAATAGATAAAGATAAAACAATACAGACAAAGAAAAAACAAAAATGTTTCAATGCATTTTTTTATAATAGAAACCTTTATTTTACTTTAAAAATTAAAGATAATGACCTAAAACTGTAGTATATTCTAGTAAAAGTGAAGAAACTGATAGCTTCACACAAGCATGTGTTGGATTTGCATAATGCATATGGGGTCCCACATAATTTTTGTAAATATTATGGGGTCCCCACACCAAAAATTTTAAGAAACCCTACTCTACACTGAAATTATACACGTGCATTATCTGATCATAATTCCCCTGTATTTTAAATTCAATTTATGATTTAAATATAATAAGGTAATTTTAGTACTTTAACTAAAGTAATTATTTCTATTTGTTTGTTCTTCTAAATGTTTATACTATAAATTGTATAACTTATATTTACTGTTATTTTATTTTTCAGCATTTAAAATTGTAATAATTTTTCACTGTATATTCTATTTCATTTTTTTTTTCCCCTTCTTCCTCTTCTTTTCTTAATTCAAAATGGCCATTTGTTAATCTTATATAGCTATAGAATCTACACACACAGTATTTGAAATATATACCATACACTTTTTGAAAATTTAAATAAATTTTTATTTATAAAATGCAAGTAGGTGTATGATGTTTATATTGATTAACTATTGGCTTATTAATGTAAGGCAATTTCTACATGATTTTTTTATCAGTGGGTGTATTTCCATGTGATCATATTTCCATGTCAGCATTTTTCCATGCAAGCTTTTTCCTGTGTGTTCATATTTCCATGTGGGCTTCTTCTCTGTGAGCAGTTATACCTGTCAACATTATTCTGTGAATATATTTTCTGTGGATTTTTACCTAGAACTGTTTTGAGTCCTGAAAGCTACCAGAGAACTGTCAAGCAATGTTGCTGGAATTCTCAGAAAATAAAGACATGATGGAGAGTGCTGAAAATTCATATGTAACTGAACTACACATCAGTAAATCTATGTAAACATTTTATTGTAAATGCAATTCAGAAAAAATATGAAGTTTGAAAGTTCATGTTAAATAAAAAAATTTCATAATTCATGCCAACCCAAATTCCCATTAACTGATAAAACTTCATATAAGCTCATCACACCTGAGATAGAAATTTTGTACATGATAACTAAGTGTTTGTCTTAAACAAGTTTTCATTACGGGATTACTGCATTATATTTATATACCATGCATAAATGTAGTGCCAATGTCAAATGCCAGATGGCATTGAGCTGCATCTGGTAAAATTTGCTCTGATGTAGTCGGTTGGAGTTGGCCTTCAAAAGCGTTGAATAAACGATGATGATGGTTTTAAAGGTGGAAACATTATTATATAATTGTGAATATGTATATGTTTTAAGGAATTAAATGTGTCATCCGAAACAAAGAAATTCTGTACATGTAATTTCTACCACCCACAAGACATACTACATAAATATGCCATGAAAGTTTTGATGTGGATCATGAAAGATATGATGTAATTGAGGCATAGAAACATAACTGCAGTCATGACTCATCTAACAAATCTTTATTCTTGAAGAACAATAGTTAAATTGGAGGAACTTGCATGTCTAGTTTTGATCAATTATGTTCATACTTTTCACACTTTTATAATATACAAGGTGTTTATAAAGTCCCAGACCCATTTTGATGTTTAACCCTCTAAGCGGCAAGGCCATATATAGTATATACGGCCTAGAATATTTATTGCTATATCTGTAAGAGCGTATATATACATGCATATTAAAATATGTCAACGAAATTAAGGCAATATATCAAAAGAAAACAAATTCAGGTATGAAATACCTGGAGAGTTTTTGCATTAAAACCAAAACATAATTTATTCTCATAGTAGTTTTGGGAAATTTGTGCTTTCTTAGCAAAAACCCTGGCTGCTCACAGGGTTAATAACTCATAAAATAATAAAGATAGATTAAAATTAATAACATAAATGGTTAGATAGACTCAAAATGTTTCATGACCTTTGTCAATGAACTTCCATGTGTGCCCCCTTTGTCGCACAGAGAATATCGATATTCAATTTTACGCCAGGTACCGGCAAGCATATCTGCACCCACAGAGGCTATTGCAGTTGTAATTCTGGCTTTTAGGCCATCAATGTTCGACACTCTCCTCCTGTAAACGTTGTCCTTTACAAATCCCCAAAGGAAAAAGTCCATAACATTGCAATAGTTGCCAAAAACAAAACAGAAAAAATGCAATTAATAAGCAGATGATATTTAGAAAAGTACAGATATCTAAAATGAAATTATCTGAAATTAACCACAACGCAGACAATATTTACAAAAGTAAAGATATTCAAATATGAAAAGGAAAATATACAAGTTATTCCATCCATAAATGCCATAAGTTTTTTTATATCTTCATTATTTTAAGAGTTATTAAACATCAAAATGGGTCAGGGACTTTATAAACATCCTGTATATGAGGAAATTTAAATGCTTGATTTTATCTTAGTAATGCAGTACATGGGAGAAGAATATGTTCATTGCAATAAGAAGGTAGCTTAAGAATAACAGTGTTATGGCTTTATTTCTTCCGGTCAATTAAATTTTAATTAACAAACTTTAATATCATGTGCTGAAAGAGTTTGGTATTTCATAAGTACTTGTGTTCTGAGTATTAAATACATGATAGATTAATTTTGAAACAACGTAGTTTAGAGGCATTTATTATAAGCATGTTTTTATTTTTAGGACTGAAAGAGGAGATAACCATATTAAATTATAGATATAATCAATGAATCAAATTCAGCAATACCTGATGCTGCCTTTTCTATAAACAATAATTCGCTGTCGAAATTTGAAATCTGAGGAAATTTTAGTCGAATGGTTTCTGCTATGTAATGAAGAAGAGATATTTTTCTATCAGCAGTTTTTGTATCAGCCAACTGAAATAAAAAAGAAGTAATTAACACAGTTTTTATCATAAAAGTAATTAGCTATAAATAACTGATTAGTGAAAGGAAAGTTAAAAAAAAAATATCCTCCTTCCACCCCAAAAAAGTTAAGATTAGGGATAAAAAGGATACATTCTGTACCATATCTAAGCTCTGTAACTTGAAACCATATGCAGGACCTCGTTTAGAACTGTTCATATAGTTTCCGAATGCTAAAATAACCTAGAAATAGATTTAAAATAAAAATATTAATACAAAAGTATATAGGAAGTGATTGATGAAATGCATTCATATTTTACATATTGAAAAATTACAAAATGAAGAATAAAAAATAATATAATGAACATAATGAGAGTTTCCAAATTATTACTTTTTCCATTGGATTCAGTTACAATTAAAATTTGAATAATTATCTCTCAATTCTGTTATCACATGGTTAAATATAATTGTAACTGGGAAAATTTAACTGTTATAAATGGGGGGGAAATGTATACAGTTTTTCTTCTTTCCTTTCTTCTTTTATATACATATATATAAAGTATAAATGCGTTTGGGAATTTCCACATATCTTTTCAGCTTATTCATTCATATTATGCATTCATAACTCTAACTGCTGGAATGACATTAAGTTATTATCTTTAATTCACAGTTGTCTGGCTTTCAACAACAAAACATCTATAAGTCATGTGTATTTAGTACAAGAAAGCATGTACAAAAGCATTAAATAATAAGCTATACAAAACACTGCATTTCTTCAACTCTATAAAGCCATTGATTCTAAGATATACCCCATAATTCCACAATCACTAACATATTTTTTTAATATATTTTAAAGATTTTTTGAAACAAAATTTAGATTTGAAGCAAATAACTCGGTCAAATTAAATCCTGAAGTATAATTTATAGTTACTTTTTCAATAACTGACTTTGGTCTATTAACAACAATACTACATTCATTTTAATTGGTAATTTGTAAAAATTAATTACTTTAGAATAACTAAGCATTTCTTATCTAAAACACTGTTTGTAAGAAGAAAAATTGTTTGGACGCTGATTAAGTAAAAAGTATAGTATATGCGCAAACAATGAAAAGGACCGTTTAGATTTTGTTAAGGAATACATAAAATTAACCAAGAGAATACTAGTTTAGAGTTCTTTTTAGCAAAGACTGTACACTTGTTTACATGAGGAGGCATTAATTAACTCAGTAGTACATATGACATTCATAAAATGACAGAAATAATCCACAGTATTTTATTTCATATAAACAGGATTAGGGGATAGACGTGCATGAACACATGGCAAAATTAAGCAATACATTATGCAAATGAGAATATGAAAATATAAGGTTTTTCCAGTTAGATACTTGCACAAAAATAACTGAACAATTGGGAAAGATACTTTACCTAATAATGAAGTGAATATTTTTTTTCAATGGCCAAGTCATAATCCAAATATAAATATCATGAAACATTACAGAGAAAAAATTGAAAGAGGATATAGAAAGAATGTCAAAATCAATTAAATCTCAATGCTTAAAACATTAAAGATTTAAAAAAGGGAATAGGAATCTATTTTCTCAAACAAAATTATAAAGATATGTGAATCCAGCACCTAAAAGATGACACTGCTTCGAAAGCAAGGAAATTTCTAACCAGTTATTGAAAAGATGTCAAAATACTTTATCTTACAACAATATAGGCAATATATATATATATAGAGAGAGATAGATAGATAGTTAGATAGATAGTTGCTCTGTTTTGCTTTGTGACCAAAAAAATTAACCATAATAGTATTTTAATATTTTCTATATAACAAATACACAGCTTTGTACATAATAAACATATACACATAAAAACTGAGCAGTATAAAAAAATTGTTCTATAAATTTTAGTTTTAACATACGTAGTGTATTCAGAAACTAAGTATCATTTCATTCTAGCGCCGTCACAGCGCTGTGGTAGGCGTCCTGCGCATGGGCACTAGTCTTTCTTGTTCACTGACTTTCAATTGTCACCATTTTGGTTGCTCTATGTTGTGTTTTCAGTTTGCTGTGCACATTCAAAATGTTTAAGACAATTAGTTCTCCCGCTGACTGTGAGATTTGTGCCATGATTAAATTTTTGAACGTGAGGAATGTTAAACCGGCCGAAATTTATCGTCAAGTGATAGAAGTTTAAGGTGAATACGCGATAAGTGATGGAATGGTGAGAAAGTGGGTAAGAATGTTTAATGCAGGTCGAACAAATGTCCATGCCGAGGCTCATAGTGGTCGGCCTTCTGTTGTCATCGATGATTTGGTAAGGAAAGTTGATGAAGCAATCTATGAGAACAGACGCTTCACAATGACAACTCTTTCAGAGGCATTTCCACAAATTTCACGTACTATTTTGTTCGAAATTGTATCTGACCGCTTGAATTATCTCACACTGTGTTCCCGATGGGTTCCAAAAATGCTCACCGATGTTCACAAAACAAAGCGACTTGGTAGTGACCTGACATTTCTCACGCGGTACAGTGATGAGGGAGAAAACTTTTTAAACCAAATTGTGACAGGTGATGAAACTTGGGTGTGTCATTTCACACCAGAATCGAAACAACAATCGATGGAGTGGAGACACACTCATTCTCCAAAAAAACAAATGTTCAAAGTGACAATGTCATCACAAAAAATCATGTGCACTGTCTTCTGGGATAGGAAAGGCGTTTTGCTTACTGAATTTCTTCCCAGAGGTGAAACCATTAATGCGACACGATGTTGTGAGACTTTAACAAAACTAAGGCATGACATTCAAAACAAACAAAGAGGAATGTTCAGTAAAGGAATTGTGTTGCTCCATGACAATGCTCGGCCCCATACTGCTGATGTCACTCAATCGCTAATTCGACAGTTTCATTGGGAGCAGTTCGATCACCCGCCGTACAGCCCGGACTTGGCGCCGTCCGACTATTACTTGTTCCTGCACATGAAGCGCGAGCTTGGTGGCAAGCGCTTTCGATCTGACGATGACATGAAAAATGCTGTGGAGTCATCGTTATCGAAACTGACGGGAAGTTTCTTTGACGATGGTATACAAAAACTGGTCACCCGCTATGACAAATGTTTGATCATTGGTGGAAACTATGTTGAAAAATAGTTTAAGACATGTATTTTCATGTAAAAATAAAACTGGATTCGAAAAAATTGTTTTACTATTTTTTTTTTTTTTTTCAAAACGGTACTTAGTTTCCGAATACGCCTCGTACATAGGCAACCACAAATATATAAATATGTTGATTAATGTAAGGAGGTTCCTTAAATAATCAAAGCTGTCCAAGTGAAGACTTTAAAGTACTAGTATATTTGTAATATATTCAGGAGTAGGAATTTTGATGGCGTAAAAGTGTTGATCCATAATGACTAGAAAATTGGAGGCGAATGCTGGCTAAATCTTCAGCTTTATTTTCAGCAACATATTATGGCTACACACAAGTCGGCACATTAAATATGACTGTTTCAAAAGGCTTACATTTTTGATGACTTTGTAGCAAGAAAGCAGCAGCAGCAGACAGACAGCAGTCCAGCTAAGGCAAAGCATAGAAAGAAAGTGCATAATGTTCAAGATGAAATCTTAAGTCAAACTGAGTTAATTTTGGTTCTCAAGGCATTTTGACTGGATAGTTAATATTGCTGTAAAATTATTATTGGTTGCCTGAATTTTAGTTCAATTTACATTACCAGAATTACGTAAGAGTCATAGGACATAGATTTTTCTCGAAATGACGCAGTGCAAATAGATGTTGCTATTTTTAGAATAGAGAAGGGAAATTAATTTACGCTGCTAATTTAATCTTTAACATATTCTTAATTTTTCTTACATATAAGTTTAGTAAAACCATCAGATAAGCTTTTGTATAATTTTGCCCCAAAATTTACAATTAAATTTAATTTTTGCACAAAAAATGGAGTGAGATATACATACACATATTAAAATACAAGAAGTTAAAATAAGAAAAACATCCATGCCACGCATAAACAAGTATGTACTTACGTATGACCTGATGATGATCAATGTTTAGCACATTTGAAATAAAGAAATTACACCTTTAATTTCAAGCAAGAAAATATTAAATAACACGTTTATGAGCAATACAAAATTTCCGAAGTAAACAGATGTTATATGCACTATTAGTATAATTTCTCTATATTCATCTTAATATATAAAGCACACACATGAATACATATCATACATACATGTAGAGAGTCATATGATTAACTGTCAGATTAACTCCACAGGTTCTCAGTTATGAAGCAATAAGGAAAATTAAATTTGTTAGCTCTACATAATTTTCTTTGATTTTACAACACTAACACACACACACACCCCTCTATATTATTATTTGATGAGATTGTGCAACAACAAACATAAAAAATTAAGCTACAGAAATCATTTTCACTATGCCTTCTTATATTTCAAAATGTTTTAGCAATGCTTTTGAAAAACTCAATTCAAATAAAGAGTGAGTAAGTTGCTTCCAATACTGTTCAAACATTTTGCTAAAATCAAACTGCCTGTTAGTTTAAATATTTCTGCTAGTATTTTTTTAATGTATATATGAATTCAATCATTAAAAAAATGGCACTTGTACTAAACTTAAACTAATTTACAAACCAATTATGACACTTCTGGCTTTTAGCAAAGGTGTAAGAGAATTAGCACAGATTAATATTAGAAGATTTAATGATTTCACCTTTCTTTATGTAAAATTTTTGTGCTTTTTTAATGTGACATTTCAAAGTTATCTCGGTTTGATTTAATGCAAATAAATTAAACCTTTATTAATATGAAGCTAGTCTATGTTTCAAAACAACAACATTATTATAACAGTCTTTTAAAGTATTATTTTCACAACACATTAGCAACAGTATTATTCTTTTTAAAAGGAAAATTGCATGTGATGCATTAGATTTATTTTTATCATTCAAAATTTGCACTAAATTTATAAAACATTAAAAATATACACAAGTAATTTGTCAGATTCGTTTAAGTACAAAAAAATAAATATTATGAATACATAGTTATACAGCAATGGAATGAAAAAATAATATAATTACCTCAAGTAATTTCTTAATTTTCTTTGAATTCTTTATTGAGCGAGAAGCAGCAATAACGGCATGAACTTGCTTTAATCAAAATATAGCATTTAATTATTAAAATATTCCATATTATACACAGATTTACAGAAAAGTTTCATAAAAACGTATGGATAAATGTAACATACTATAAATACTTCATGAAAATAACTACGTGCAGTTTAAAATACACAAAAAGTAGTGCAAAATAAAAAATTAGATAAAGTCACTGACTGCAGTTAAACTGGAACTACTGTAACACTGTCAAAGTGTTGTTATTACAATAAACAATAAAGTCATAGTGCTTCAAGTGCATGTTGAAACACTAAAGTTAAACAATAAAGTCATAATTCAAGTAAAATTATTACAATAAAGCCATAGTACTCAAAGTGCAAGTTGGAGTGTTAAATCAAAAGAAAAGATGGAAGCTACATCCTTAACTAGATTGTAGTGCAAAAGGAATTGTGGAAGTTTCAAGGTAATCCAAATTTACAAGCAAAATAATGCAAGTAATTCTCTGATTCCAAAAATCAGAAACTCTGGTGTTGTCCCAACAATAGGAAGGAAACAAAGACCATTTTATTTCCTTTTCTTTCATATACCTAATGTATAATGCCAGTCAAAAAGCATATAAGTATGTTACTTTACTCTGAATTTTAAAATCTGTGTTTATCCTATATATGCTGTAGAGCCTGCCTGCAAGGAATTTTAAATGTTCCCATGAATGAAGACAAAGTATTTTGTCTTTTACAAATATGAACTTTTTTTTTTTTTTTTATTGATATGCTTAGAAAAGCATACTTTCAAGTATTTGGAAAGGAGAGAGCTAAATCTAGTGGACATATAGGAGACAAATGGATAGAAATCAAGTATTTTAAGTTTGAAGACTTAAAGTTGAAGGAGATGGAGGTCTTAAAAGTTTATTAAATGAAATGTCAATAATGGTAAAAGGTTGAGTTCTTTTGTTAAAGTAGCAGGAATGCAGCATAAATGAACAAGAGAGTAAAAGGCCACAATTTTTTGTTTATGTTGATGGACAGACCAAGGGTGATGGAACAAGAAGATAGCAAGTGTTTTGTAAAAAATGCTCCCGAGGATTCATTTTCAAATTTATATATAAAATGTAGAAAACTAGGAAAGTCATTTTAAATATTTTTCTGAAGTATATTAATTACCCTTTGAGCTTGTGGAATGTTCCTTGTCTATAGAAACTGTAACTGCCAAAGGAAAATTCTACTTACAAGAATGTATCATCTCAGAACAAGGCATGGAAACCTTCACATATTAAGGCCTGCTTTCCTTAGCTTGGCATTAAACTAGTTTTCCTCCATGAGCCCTAAATGCTAAGGACTATGAAGAAATACTGCATAATACATTGCAGCAATAAATGAACGGTGCATTTCTCAGTGTAATACACCAGCTCATAAATCAAAGCATATAAGTTAATTGTTTGACAAGCAAGGAATGATCAAATTCATAATTCAAAGTCAGACCAAACTGTCCAAAAATTAACTCAGATTTGGTTTAAAAAAAAAAAAAAAAAAAAAAACAGCCACAACTATTTAAAGAGACAGCAAAATGGCTTCCTTGAAAGGTTCAGACTGTTATTCTGGCTAATGGCAGACCTACATTGTAGTGGCATCATTTAAGCTTTAAATAAATATATTCCCTTTGGTTTCTGCCACTTGTACTAGGCTTAAACTAGTAAATGACTTTAAAAATAGTAATATGATACTAAAAAATAGTAATATGATACTTTAAAACTAGTAATATGACTAAAAATTAAATAATGCAGCAAAACTGGTATAAGAAATTAATTAGCACATTAAATGTATCTAGTTTTTCTCACATTGTTTCTAAGCCTGGAGAAAATTCATGCCACCCGAAGAAACAGGTTAAACTTAGCAAAATGGCCTCCTTGAAAGGTTAAGACTGTTATTCTGGCTAATGGCAGACCTACACTGCAGTGACATAATTTAAGCTTTAAATAAATGCACTCCCTTTGGTTTCTGGTCATTAATGGTAATATAACTTGCTTTCATATAGTTGATTTTAGAGCTATGTGGTTTTGTTAACATGTGGACTATCCCCCCCCCCTAATAAATATACTGAGAAATTTTTTAGAGGTTTAAAGAAAATTAAAATATCAAAACTAATATTTAGTATTTTAGACTATTATTATTATTAGCAGCTAAAAAATAGTCTACAAATATATAAAAGTTGTGTAATGAATGCATAAAATATATACACATACTAATCTATTTAATTATTCCAATCATAAAATAAAAGCACAAATATATTATAAAAATTAATATTCGAAAACAAAAAGCATACAAATACTTGCAGACCACCTAAGGGACCACTGGCAGTAAATAAAATGTATCAAATAGTAAAGGCATCCAAGAAAATTAGTTGTAACATTAGATATTGTTTTATTAAAAAAAAAAAAAAAAAAAAAAAAAAGCTTTTTCTAAAGCTATTATCGGCTGCTAGCACTGGGGTAAGCTTATGTGCCAAACAAAGTGCCAAGTCAATTAATTGAACTAAATCAGCAGAATATGATATTATACAGCTCTCAATTTTTACTGTGTTTAGAATATAACTTTAAAAAATAAATAATGCAGCAAATCTAGAAAACAAATTAATTAGTACATAAAAATGCATCTAGTTTTTCTGGCACTGTTTCTAAGCCTGCAGAAAATTCATGCCACCTGAAAAAACAGGCTAGCTGTTTGAAATATTGCACTCTTTTTTTTTTTTTTAATTTTCCATATCTGATGTGTAGTGCCAATAATACACATAACATTTACAGTATTTTGTTAACCTATAAGACAATATTAATGTAGGTACTAACAAACAGTTTATTAATCTTGTAAAAAGGTAGTCAAAACTTATGATATAAATTCTACAGTGCAGTACTACAGATGTACTTTATCTGCTTTCAGTACTTCTTAATCTACACTATATCACTAGTGTGGCATCTAGTCAACAACAGTCTACTAACTGTTAAGCTTCAGGGCAATCAAAAGTTATGTGCAGATTTGGAATTACGCAACTGCAGGGGTTGTTGCTGCTCCAAAGCTCTTTTACTTTTTTAAGGGTTGGCTCCACATCCACACATGCACACACACAGTAAATGTAAATGCACAGTTTTATAACAGATCATTTAAATATATAATGAGGAAAATAAAAGTTTACCGGCGTTATCAGCTGTATGTTTTCATTAAAGCTAGCCATATAACTCATTATATTTAATTTCTGAGAAAGCCTTTCAACTTTGGATAACTGAAAAATATATAATAAATAAATAAATAAAATAAAGAATTTAAACGAATTAACATGACAATCTCTTATCTAGTTAAATAGAATACAGCAACATTAAAAACTTTAACAATTGCATGCAATGTTAAGACATGATAACTTCCAAACAAAACTGTCAGTATCAAAAAAGATTAATAAGAAAATAAAGATACAGTCAAAAGTCTTTAATCCGGACTCATCGGAACTTCGGCGATTCCAGATTATAGATCATCAGTTTAAATCTGGTAAGATGGCATGCAGAAATTATAAAATTAAAAATATGAAACCATAATTTATGAAAAAAAAGAGCAATTATGATCTAAAAGGTATCAAAATTTACACACACACACAAAAAAGCTTTATATTTATTTGTTTACTGTATTAAACATTTCTTTCAATATGCGCATGCGTAAAGCATACATTACGCATAGTTGAAATTAGAAAATTGAAACCAGAAAACTATTTGATTTGTATTCCTGATATTTATAATGATGAGGAATTTGATTTAAATCATATCAAAGACGGAGTACATCGAGATGAAATACATTTAGTAAGGAATTATAAGCCAAATAAAATAAAATCATCTGCCCTGAAGATAAGGATAGTGCTGACAGATCAACTTCCAGTTCATTGCGCCGTGTTGCCCCTCCTTCCCCCGCAGAGCAGCATGAAATTGATAAACAGTTTTCGGAATGATTAGAGAATCAAAGGATATGCCTTTATCCACTTTTTGCAGCAATTCCACTTTTTGTTTGATGGACATCGAAACATGCTTTCGCTTTATAGATCCTTTGGTAGCTCCAGAATCGGAAATTCTTTTTGACGTAATCGAAAGTTCAAGCTTACTTTTATAAAATTGCTCTAACAGTCTGCAAAAAATAATAAGCCGGATCCAATTAGAAGATTAAGGAACAACGCAATCTGCAACATTAACTGAAATAGATAATTAGATAATTTTAGCTTAGCTTATACCGTCCGTTATACATTAAACGCGCATGCGCAAACGTATTATGCACATGCGTTTTGTAGCTTTGAGGTCCGGATTAAAGACTTTTGACTGTATCAGTTATTCACTGATTTATTGATAAAAAATAAAATGATTATATTTTAAAAGTTTTTCAAAAGAATAAATTAAATTTGCTTTTCTACTTTTTTACGTATTTGTTTAAATTTTAATATTTTAAAAGTTTTTATTTAATGAGGAAAAATACTTTAATTTAATAAACAGGCTGCTAAACTAAGAATAATAACTTAATAATTAGCAACCTGAAAACCATAACTTAACAATATCAATCCATTTTGGAGATAAGTTTAATTGAATATGGCGAAGCTCAAGAATGCTATTACCTAAGGGAAAGGATGCCTTATGGAGGATTTTCTAACTGAAACTGGCTGATATTCACATAATGCATGGGGTAAACCCTAAAAACCAACCGCAAAGTCAGCCTGTTTGCATAATCAAACTTCCAGTATTCAGCACTCTTAATCACTCCGTTGCCAGCAAGTAGCAGACTGAAGAAAAACTCAAATACCTTCCACCAAAATAACTTCGCATATTTTCCAATTTAAACAGTAAATTCTCATTTGCAAACCCAAAATTATTTAAAAATTACTTCTGCATCTACATACTGAAAGTGCATTAAGAAAAATTAAAATGGAACTGAGAATTTCTTATGTTTTCATTTTATTAAAACAGCACAAAGATTTTACTTGATTTGAAAGGACTTAAAATAAATTAAGAAGAATAAAGATACTACATGAAACTTTAAACTAAATGACAAAATAATAATTTTAAAAATTCAGTTATATTTCTAGAAACATGTTTTTTCATTGTATTTTAACATTATAAAACTCATTTTAAACCTGATCGTGACCAATGATTTCACTCTTATGAGCCCAGGCACCACATCTGTGTGAAGAACTCTGACCAATCTCTTCAGCCCAGTGTCACATATCCATAATTTGAAAACAAAACGATTTATTTGAATTTTTAAATGGCACTAAATGGTAATGTTTTTTTCACACTGGTAGAGTCATATGGCTTTTGACCGTCATATATGGGCATCAGTTTCTGTGCGGTGCTTTTGGTTTTGACAGATTTATTGCTGTAAGTAAACTAGGAATCACAGCTCTAAAGTTAAAGGCAAGTTAAAGGAACATTGGTGTTTTTTTTTTATTTCATCCTAAATTCTTGTTCGTCCCCCCCTTTTTTTTGTTTTAATTTTTGTCTTTGGTTTTTTGGTTATCAGAATGTGTGGAAGTGCATCCAGCTCAATATTTTCATTTATGTTATTTGCTTTTTTTGTTAGGAGAATGTGAGAAAACGCATCTATAGCTGACTATAGCAGGTAATAATATTGCAGAACGTTCATGATGGAAAAACCTTTAAAATTTTGTATTTGTAATGTGTATAGTATTTGTTTTCATGTGCATAGTTATAATTTTATATTTCACATGTTTCATTTACATTCTTTATAATAACACACATTAAGAATTAGTATATTAAATATGTAACATCAAAAATTGAGGACATTATATTAAAACGGTGATTTTCTATGATTTCTTTGGTAAAATTAGGCTTAACTGCTGAAAATGCATGGGCCAGTGGCGACGTTCCATTTCAGGGGGTTCAGTCCTGTGACTGTGCTTCGTTCTTTGCATGCTGGTCCTCAAGGGGTTAATTTATCTAATGCTCATTGCTTAAAAAATGTTCTTATCCACTATAAATAATGCTTTTGTACATGGTATTTATTAAGCCATAATGCTAATTATTCTGTATTGAAGCGAATTATTTTTATAACATCATTGATTCAGATTTCCAAAATGAAAGTTCAAAAATTTGTGATAAAATGTAAATGATTATGATGACAAGGTAAAGGATTCTGATGATTATCCATACCCATCTATACACATACATTTTGCATAAAAACTTTTTGTTTTATTATATCAGCAGGCATAAATATATACCTGTAAAAGAAATTTATCCTCATCTGTTAAGGCATCAATGGGTTTTCGATTCCTTTCATACTCTTTGTAAGCCTTCATCTAAACAAATAATTAAAATACAGAGATTAAAATTATGCAAATCACAGTTACATGAATCTGCATGGAAAACGTGCACTTCAAGCAAGATTGAAAACAAAAGTATTCAGGGAATAAATGCATATATAATTACATTTCTCAAAACATGTACATTACTTTTTATGCTGATTATTACACAAAACATATTATTTAAAATATCCTGTAACATATGCATACAGCAAGGCATACTTTTTTAGTCTATGAATATTTTCAGTGCTTTATTTAAGCAAAAATTAAATGTATGCAACACTAATACAAAGATTTTGGACATATCATTTTGCCAATTAGTTTAAAGATGTTCATCATTGTTTTCATTACAACATATCAAGTAAATAACAATTCTTTGATTTCAAATATTAAAATGAACAAAAAATCATCAAAAATTACTTTTGTTACTTGATATAGAAAATACTTTTACTAATTTTTTTTTTTTTTTTTTTTTTTTTATTTAATGATGCAGTTTAGATTGGTTTACTACAAGCAAATATTATTTTTAGAATAGAAAGGGAAAATACCTGAATTAAAATGAAGAGTATGAAAGATATATAAGTATGAAAGTATAAAAGTATGAAAGATGTATGAAAGATGTGATAAATTTTTTGCCCTCGCGCCAAGGACAGAAAGAAGAACGTGAATGCAATGTTTAAAATGTGAAAACATTCTGTGTCACACTTTGAATGAAACACATGAATGTATTTCGTTCAAAGTGTGAAGAAATAAAATGAGCATTGTGTATTACATAAAATGAAACTTAGAGGCATGATGTTTATTTTTTCATTATTTTCATTTATCTTAATTTTAACTCTAAGATTATGTTGGAAATTAATTTTTTGAAACCCAATTATTATTCACGTTTTTATAATACACGAGAACAAGAAAAACAGCTTTAAAACTAAATAAAACTATTTTTATCGTATTTTAAATATTGGAGTATGTGATACCCCACGCGCCCACTCTAGTAACTTTTCTTGGTGCGACTTCCGCCAGGTTAAAAAAATAATATGTTCATTCACAGTTCCAGCTTTTAAAGTTTTCAATAGACATTTATCATGGAACTTCAAAGTACCCCATAAGTAAACTGAAAACTGACAAAAACATTCACCTAGTATAAGCCCACACAGAGCAATGGCAGAGACTATTACATAATAAATTACTGAAATTTACAGCCTCCTGTAATCCACTGCAGGAAATTCAACTAATTTTATTAACATTTTCTTTAAACAATTAAAGTTTATCTTTACTGATACAACATTCTACAGCCATTGATATCTAAGTGTAAACAATAAATATTTAAACCTATTACAATTTTTGATATTTATTTCACTCATAAAAACATATTTTTAGTCTAATAGCATGGATAAAAATTAACTCTTGCTACTGGGTATTAATAAAGGGCATGCTACATAAGCAATTTTTCCTTATCTATCCCCCTGTTTAAAGGGTTTTGAAGTTATTAATTAACAATCTATATGTTTTCAATTATTCAGACCTGCTTCTGTTCTTTAACATGCACAGTAATACTAATTAATCAAATGAACATGAAAATTAAAATATACAGATAGGATAACTCAAATTCTTAACCACTTAAATGGTATTGCTTTTATATTAGCCATATACCAGATGCTGCTATTGCACAACACTTACTACTTTAACCCTATACTTATATACAGGAGACCATTGTGAACTGAGTTTGTTACATCCGTATGTCTTTGGGGCTCCGCCCTTCACATAACAAATCAGGAAAACTGTTTTATTATTTATTTTTGACATGCCTGTGACTATTTTAAATTCTGAAATAAGCAATAGGTAATAGTAATACTTCCATAAATTAAATTTTGCATTAAAAATTACTTTTTTGAGAATTCTGAACTATTTTACACTACTTTTTTTTTTTTTTGGCTTCCTTTTAATTGCATTTTTTTGTAAAGCAAGAAATAGCTTTCTTGAAAAAGATAATTCTAGTGTTGAAGAATTTGAAAAAAATTTTAATGCAACCCCCCTCCCTCCTTGATGTACATTTCTTTAATAGGATTGCTATGTTGGACTATACATAGTCACCTCAAAATTAATCATACACAAAAAATAACTTAATTTTGAATATATTATCAATGAGCCAAAATGTATGTGAATGAAATTACCATTTGATAAAGTAGCAATAAAAATTATTAACATCATAAACACAGTTTTATAACATAAATGCACACTCTTAAGCTTTACTCCTAAGCTCATATGTGTAAAGGAAAGCCACAAAAAAGGAAAAAAATTCTCGAGTTTTAGATAAATTCAAGTAGCTAAAAAAATTAAATTTCATTAAAAATATGCTGTTTATGATACTAATCAATTTAGAATTCTGTGAATAATAAAAAGGAACAATAAAAAAGACAATTTTTGAAAGAAATTTATGATTTTAAATAATTTAGTTCATTACTTATTTTCCCAATCTCAAACCATGAGGGTGATTTCTGCATCAGAAATGAAAATAAAAGAAAAATATTTTAAAGCACATGGTTAAGCATAAAAAGATTAAAGATATGATACCATTTACAGTAAACCATATAATTTTTCAGAAACAATTATAGTACTTACTTCAGCTTCAGTGGGCACCATTCTTAAAAGAATTTCAACAAATTCTTGAGACAGAGTGGTCAAATCAAGTGCATTTATAGCTTTCACAACAACATCACAAGGAAGTTCAACTTTTCGCCGGGATATTGCCATGTTCCGCAGCCTGTTGTGTTCTAATAAAGTAACCTTTTCTGGAACCTACATTCAAACAATTATTTTATTATTTAACATTATTTTTTTTTCAATTTAAAAGCTAACATTTATTTCCTATAAATAATGGAGAAGAACAAACAGAATCTGCTTCTTTTTTTTATTCTTAATTACTTACCTTAAATCTTTTACTTCCATTAATGTCATCTGTTCGATCGGAAAATGGCCCTTGAATACCTAATTTGAAATGTTCCTCAAATTCTGCAAAATCGATTATCTGAGAAGAGAACATATAATAAAATTAATGAAAATGTTAGAGATAATGATACAAAATTTAAAATTTATGGTCAAAGTATAACTAAAAACAACAAATAACCACAGATTAAGCAAAATATTAAAGAGATTTACAAATTTTACACAGGTCAATATTAATAATAATTTCATAAAATGTATTTTCCAAAAGAAACCTTATGCAGTTCTGCAACTTTTAACAATAATACTCTTACAGCTCTTCTCGGTATGACAGAGTAGAATCAATAGTTATCACTTTAAACTACTAAGAACATTAAATAAATACCAGACAATATAAAAAACTTCAAATGTACAGGCTCACTCAGTGATCTCTCAATATTCTAACCTAAACAGAGAAATGATGCTCTCTCTAGTCTTATATAGTTTTACCCTGTCTGCCAAGAAATTTCCAGAACCTTCGATTTCTTGAAGTTGCTCATACATACTTGAAGGCACATACAGTTCCAGATGCAGTTTCAATTAAAAAATTTATTTATTTTTTGAATCAACATAATTTTCACAACTACCTGAAATACCTACTGAAATTTTAATTATTGATAATTCATGTAATTCTGATTATGTACTGATAGGGTTTTCCTTATTTGACTAAAACAACTATTAAAAATCTGACACTTTTTTTTTCCTTGAGCCTCAAACAAGAATTTAAAATTTATATTTTTCTAAAGTGTGTAATATAACTAAAATGCCCTGGTCTGAATTTTTCATTTTAAAAATTCCTTCCTTATATTAGAATGATAGGTTTCCTATAAATTGCCCCTCCACCCCCAAGAAAGAAGTAAATTTTACATTACAACAAACACTTTTTAAATACCTCATATGCGAAAAAGGAATGAAACTGCATTACAAGAAAATAAAAGCACTGATAATGTTTCCCTTACAGGCTAGCTAAAAGGTAAATCTTTGTCTATGACCAGTTCTTGTCTTAAACATATTTATCAAAACCTGTAAGTTATTAACTATTATTTGTATATCATTTTTGTTCTTATTTAGTTTATTTTTATTAGGGGCAAGTGCTAAAACCACAAATAAGTGATACTCAAAGAGCAAGTTAAATCAATTAAATCTTTTCTCTGTACAGTAATACAATATTTAACTAAAAATGATTTTGCACTTATGGTACAATCTTAGTATTTCCAAAAGTTCAGTTTTATCTGCACAGTAACACAATATTTAACTAAAAATGATTTTCCACTTAAGGTACAATCTTAGTATTTCCAAAAGTTCAGAACATGTGATGTTCTAACAATATAGAAAATGATTTGTTTTATGTTGTTACTACATAGTTTCAAATCAAAATTTAAGCAATTTCAAATAATTTTAAATAAATAAAATCAATGGTTATAAAAATGCTTTGTAAATAAATTATATAAAAACAAATTTATTCTGTACAAAAGAAACAGATATAATACTACATAATAAATCATTTATAAAATTTTATAAATGCCAAGAAAATACACATCATATGTTAAAAAGAAAATACTGATTTAATTACAGTCTTTTAAGTCAATTTTGCATAAATCCATTTTTAAAAATTTATTTAAAGAAACAAAATTTACAAATTTATTATTTTTAAATCAAGAAAAATAGTAGCTACAAATTATCTACCAGAAATATATGTATACCGAATATCAAAATTATTACAAAAATATCCGATCTTTGAGAACTCCATTGATCTAAAAAGATGTCTATCACCTACAAAAATATGATTCATTATAAATTACTCATTTTCAAAATAATATAAACTTTAAACATGCACATTTGTTGTTCTAAGATGAAGGGGAAGAATTTAAGTTAAAAGTTTGCAGTTGCCAGTTATTTTAAATTAAACCTTGAAGAACCATCAATTGGCAGTTAAACAAATCACTGTATAGAATAAATAGTTTACTTACACTGTACAATTTATCATCATCCAATTCACTAAATATTGTCCCTTTAACTTGGTTAGGCTTTAGTGCTATCCAGTTAAGGGTAGGAAGTTTATATTTTGTTTGGAATTTCTTTTTAATTGTCATGGCTAAAAAATAAAAAGAATTTCTATTAAAGACATGCATAAAATAATAAAAGGAATAAATTGCAACATTAAAAACAAAAAATTCACCACAATACTTCTTTTTAAAGACTGCAAATATTTATGTATATTACAAACAATTTTCAAAACGTTTATATGTTTGAAAGCAGCATTTAAAAAAATAGTTAAAATAATAAATCATTATTTTACGAAATACAAAATGAATGAAATCTTTACCATCTTGAGGAGCCTGCATCATACCAGGCATTGGTGGAGGTCCAGGAGGAGCTTTGGCTAGGAGTGGAGGTGGTGGTGGAGGAGGAACAGATACTGGTGGCGGAGGAGGAGGGGGAGGAGGTGGCGGTGGGGCACATGGCAGCACTGATACAGAATGGCCATCCATAGCACTAGATGACATTGTACTACCTACAATATTCAACAAGAATTTAAGCAATATGATAAAAATGATATTAAAAAATATACATTATTTTCCATTTTAATGGTATTTACCTCTAGGAAGAGTATTTTGCAATACTTCCAGCTCTTGAATTTTGGACTCCAAAAGGCTCTGTCTCTGACGAGACTCCTCCTCTTTTTGAGAAACAGCCCTTCTTAAAGTATTCAATTCCTCATCAGCCTGTTTGTGTAATTCCTATAACAAAAAGTTGCAATGTTCATTATTTTCTTATATTTGACAATGCAAACACACATTTAAAACTTATTATAAAGATGACATGTACCAAAATTTATCAGGTTAACTTCAGACTCTAGCCTTGTATTAACTTTGAATTCAATTAAGAATCGGCAGAAATTAATGCTTAAATGAAACAACAATTTATTTCATTTATAGCCCCTGCATTATGTAAATTTAACTTTACATAATGCTGAAACTGTTTAAATGCAAGATACTGTTCTATATTACAATTGGACAAAAGATACCCCGAAAATAAACAGAAAAATGCACACAGCATTACTTTGGAAAACAATATACGAGGGTTGGGGCAAAAGTCATGGCAACTATTTTTTTTCTTGTAGATATGTGAACGGATCACAAAACGTATATGTGTTGTGTGGAAGTTCTGCAGGCATAGTGTGTATGCAGAACAAAAGATGGCTCTGAGATGACTCTGTGATAGCTGGCTCTGTGATCAGTCAGTTTGTTGAGTGCCGTGCGAGATGGAAGTAACCCGTGTTGAGCAGCTCGCTTACATCAAAATAGCCGTTCTCCGAGGGAGAAATGCGATGGAATGTCACAGAGAATTAGTAGAAGCCCTTGGGAATAATGCCCTACCGTATCGTACAGTAGCACGGTGGGTAGGAAAGTTTCAGCGAAGGACGTGTGTCAACCAGTGATGAGCAAGGCATTCGGGACGACCGGTGAGTGTGCGGAATGACTTGGCACGTGCTGTCATCGAAGCACCTCATGGATGAAGACAGACGATGGACGTTACTGGAGTTCATCCATGAGGTAAGTGGCATCGAGAAACACACCGTCCACAGGATATGGCATAATGAGCCAGCGTCAGAATCCTTCCCCAGTCAAATTGATGGTGATCGTCGTGTATGGTGTCAGGAGTGTCATTGTTTGCCACTTTGTTCCTCATGGCAGAACAATGACCACACAGTACTACAGAGACTTCCTGGTGCGACAGGTACGACGTGGTGTTCAGGATAAACGTCCGGATCTTGTGGACAATGCAATAATTCTGCACGACAATGCAAGACCACATAAGGCAGAGTGTGTACGTTAGCTACTCCAATGTTGGAAATGGGAAGAATTGGAGAACCCACAGTGCTCTTCTGACCTGTAGCTCTGTGACTCTCATTCCCAAAATTAAGGAACCAATACATGGTAGGCGGTTTGCAACACGAGAGGCCATTGCTAATGCTGTGTGCCAAAAGATGACCCGATTCACACATGGTGCAGCAAATGCTGAGGCTGATGGTATTCAGTGCCTCCCACATCGTTGGCAGTGTGTGGTGACAGCAGGGGACTACATTGAGGGTCTTTAGGCCCAGGTTTGTCATGTCAACTTTATGTGTATTGTGTTATCATTCTTTTGCACGGTGAAGGCTATATTGCCCTGTATACTACCGTAATAAATTCGTGTGTTACGATATTTCAGTGCTATTCATTGTCCACACAAGTATTGTCCTTTCGTCTGTATATGTCATATTTTTCAACCGGACTGGTATCTTCAAGAAACAAAATAGTTGCCATGACTTTTGCCCCAACCTACATATTTTACAGAGATATTTATTTGATAAAAAACACTTATTACTAAAAATAGTTAAGTTAACACTCACAATATAGTAACTAACTAAATTCACAATATAATAGCTAAAATGACAAAAAAAATCACTAAAATAATTATACATATTTTCTTTTTTTGTTTGTACTATGACGGCAATTTAAACTCTATTAACTTTTGATTATTTTTTGAGGGGGGGTGTGCATTCATTCATGCAATTTTAGAATTAACCTTTTATTTTTTAATAAAGATTTTTTGGCAACAGCTTCAGAAATTTCCATGGTAAATGAAAATGCTCAGAATCATAATGAGAAGTTGATTGTGGTTTTTACAAAAACTAACTTGGAATCATATTTTAGAGACATATTAATTTCATTAACAATAAGATAATATTTGCTATTTTACTATAGCACTTTAACATTCAGCTCTAATTGTTTTAGTAGTGAGAAGCTGCAAGGTAATGGAGATTAATTGATGCCATTGATAATTTATTAAAGATTAAATTTAGCAACAACTTTAATAATGGATATAAAATAAGGTAATAACACCGATATCACAACTTTTTGTTTCTTAGAAAATATTTTAGGAAAAAAAAAATAAACTTTGTATTATATATACTGGATGCTCACATAATTATTCAAAAAAACTACCAATGCTTGCTTTTATGTAATGGACTGGAGCAGTTGAGCTTTTTAGTATCAGGAAAATAAACATTCTGTCATAAGACAAGAGATTCTGTTTTGAATAGACTGAATAATTTCAAATGTTATATTTAAATGGCTTTCAAAAGGTCATTGTATAAATGATAGATATCTTGAAGACATTTAAAAGGTTATATTTGGGTGTTTCACTGTGGGTTCTCCAATATATACAAATCTAGCCCCCCCCCCCCCGAAGAAAAAAAAAAGATTAAGTGACATTTTTTAAAGTAAAGGTGGACAAGTCTAACCTATAACTTGAAGAAATGAATCGGAATTACTCTTTACAGTGAATATTTATGTATGATTATTATTTTTTAATATACTATATGAACTATATTTTGTAAAATGTTATGAACTTGAATAAAGAGAATGTCACATAATTTTTCAGATGCTAGATTAAAAGTAATACTCAACGTCAGGAAATAGATGATATACTTAACACATATGTAAAAAAAATGGTTTTTTGCTTGGGGAAATGCACAGTTTCATATGTGAACACTTGATCTATTGCAAAAACAAAAAATTATTTTACTTTGTAATTACTTTTTATATAGTATAAAAGTAATGTAATAAGCAAATACTATTCAACATTAGTCTAGAATTTTTGCTGAAAATGAGAGCTCAGTGCTCATATTAGTTTAACTATTTCTTAGTAAAACATCATAGATAGTAATCTTTGTTTATATAGATAAAAATTAGATTGCATGCTTTTAAAATAAAAATGATCAAGAACTCATATATTTGAAATTTAACAAAATAATAAGACACAAATTGCCTTAAAAAATATGACAAGTAAAGTTTAATAATGGTAATAATAATAATATAACAATAGATTTTGACTACGAACTATAGCTATAAAAATTGATTTTATTTCAATCGAGATGCAAATTGTGCTAAAGCAAATACAAAAAATAGAGTTAGTTAGGCTATTTGAATATCACAAAGCACGAGGGCTATCTGCATAAAAGGAGGGATGCTTTCGCGGAGGACTTTCTAAGGGAAACTGGCTCGTCTTTATGTTACACATGGGAAAAACCATGAAAACCAACCATGTAGCCAGCCCATTCATCTGGGATCAAACCCAAGCCAGGTCAGTCTACCAGTATTTAGCAATCTTAAACACTGGCCACTGATGGAGCCATAAAAATAAAGAAATAATATGTCAAAGAAAAACTAAAAATCAATTCCATCTTTAAAACAGTTAAAATCTTAACATAAATGAAACAAAAATTTATTTGTAGGTATTCTTTGAAATGCTGCATATCAAATGTATTACATTACAATAATATTGATATGAAATGCACCTGATATAAATGTTATGAAATATTACAACATTACAATACTATTTCATAAAAATAAAGGTTTTGTCACAGCAAATAGTTTTTAAATAAATTAAGCAAATCCACATAATGCATAAAAAAAGCACCAGCACATAAAATAACATACCAAAAGTTCATTCCTTTCCTTGGTGACATTTTCAAGATGAGTTTCAAGTTCAACTAAAAACAAATAAATCAGAATTTAAAAAAATTGCAATTTGGGCTACCTTAACCTTTTAAATGCTATATCTCGGAAACTTGAAGATTCCAGATCTAATATAAAAATGGTTATTTTTTACAGAAGAACTATCATTGGTACTTATTTACTATTATGGTCTCTGTCTTTTAAACAACAAATTAGTGCCAGGTTATTGCCAAGTTCCTGTTTACTTCTCATATATACTTTTTGGTTGCCATGTTTTCGGAACAGCTTTTCATATGGCATCAGAAGCTTTTTTCTTTTTTGGTCTCAAGAGCATTTACCAAGTGAACTCCGTAAGGTAAGACTCATGATGTTAGCGAACTGTGCTTTGTTTATTTTTATTCTGCCACTTAGCAAAGCGACAGTTTTAATATTTTATGCTGTTGGATCAATAAAATGAAATTTACATTTCATAGTAAAATGTCTCTAACCTGCTTTTCCAGTTTTTCTGTTTTATATGAGTCTGAATAAATGGCTGATCCCTCATGTACATAAGCAATAATTTTTTATATTATTGTGGTTGTCACTTCATTCGAAACCTCAATGAGAAAGAATTCACCACTTCCACAGCATAATCCATCAGAAAAAAAAATATTGTGAAAGAATTCTGCCAGCTGCGTTTTTTTCCTCATACAAACAAACTTTCATTCGTGCCTAATATTTTTTGGAGCCATCTATTAACTTATTAGTTGTCAGAGAATACAACTCTTGCATAAAACTGCTTAAGTCAATAGTTGCATTTTAATAATGGCTGAGCTGCTTCTCCTACCACTTAATTGATGTCAGTCCCTCTGGCCAATAATAAATAAACTGTTGCGCTATTACAAACAGCATTCTGAAACCAATGAAAGAGTTGTCAAAATGTTTCTTTCCTTTCACATTGCACCTCCATTACACCACCTTTATACATTTTGCATTAATATGCAGCTATGGCCATTTTTGCATATTCAAATGGAAGGTAAAATGGGTCTTTCTTGAAAGAAAGATATGGCACCTTTCTCACTTCTCAGTTAAACAAACATTTGTAAAAAAAAAAAAAAAAAGTATGTTAATACATGGATTACTGAGAGTTTTCTTGCAACGAGAGAATTATATGAGTGATCATAAATTATTAACACTTCTATAAAAAAAAGAAAATACAATAAAATGTAGTTTACTTGGAGCTCCTTTTACAAAGAGCAAACTATAAATTATTATCACTTTAGTACTGCCAGCCATCTGAAGATACTTTCCGTTGCCGAGTTATCAGTAATCTTGGCGCAATTTATAAAATGGCAGAGCCATCATAATAAAGAAGAACGTTTCAATATAATATTTATTCTAACTGTCATAAAAGTACTTATAAAAGAATACAGTGCAACAAGATACTTGATGATAAACTAATTTTTAGTTAAAAATTACCAAAATACTTGCATTATTAAAGCTTAAGAGCTTACTTCAAATATGTTTTGGTTTTAGTGATTAATTTTATTGTCCTTTACATAAATGAATATCATATTATGAACAAAACTGATGCATAAAAAATGCAGCTTTAAACTGTGTATGCGCAAATATATAAAGACATCTTTTCAATAAAAATATTATTAAAAAGACAGACTTATGACAATTTAGAAAGAAAACTTGATTAGCAACCACAAGTAAAATTATATGTCATAAATACACAGACACTTGTCAATTTTATCATTTAATGACATTAATGCCGTATAAATACCAATCTGTAATAAAAGGTTAAAGCCAAGATATTTGCATACTGCTTGTGGTGACTTTACAGTGAACAAAATGTGTATATATATATACTTGTATTCACACTAAATGGATTTAAGTTCATACAACATTATATACATATTATATGTTATATGATCTTAAAATTCACTTAGTTCAGAAACAAGTTGTAAAATATAACAAAATACGATGGCTGCTTTAAGAATAATTGGCAACCTCAAAATTAACAATTCTACATTTTATGTTCTTCCCCTAAATTCATCTTTTCTCCCAGATTCAAGATCTTTCCTTGTTACCTAACAACCTAAAATTAACCAATCACTGATTAGCTGTATTTATACATCAGATTTAGTATAAATACTCTTGGCACAATAACTACGTCATTTCTTTTCCCAGCCTCTATCCTACAAATAACTCTGTCCCGTTTATGCAGCCCTGTCCAAAATGCTTACATCGTTAATTTTAAAACCCATGTACATAAAAAATATCGTATTTCATTATGATTGGATAAGTGTCTACTACGATGGTTTTATATGGATGAAAATAAAGACTGGGAATTTTTCAATCTCAATTGTGTTAACTACGTCATCACAGCTTTTACCTTCAGTCACTACTGTCTTCTCAGCCACGACGAATACTGAAAGCTGTTAAATATTCCAGTATTGTTTTCTACACATTAAATTATGACATATATGTGAGTGTGTAAAGATTTACTATTAAATTATATTTATATAAATTTAATTAAGGTAAATGTTGTGCTTATCCTAGAATTTTACAGCCCTCCCTTGTTGCTATCATTATAACAGTTCAAATGCTCCAAATATATCCTTAAAATAAATGTAATGGTGATAATCTCCACTTGTACAGTTAATAAATGTACTAAATTAAGTTTGAGAGTAAAATGTGATTTCTCACTATTTTTCTGTTACTTTCAACCATGGTTAGTGCAACACCATAGATCATAAATGTATGTAAAGAGCATCTGGCATGGTTATCAAAACCTGGCAATCACAATCATCTGGCATCAAAAAGCAGAGAAAAAATCATAACATTTCAAGAGAGAGTTCAAAGGTTTGATATATACCACAAATTTTTTTATGTAGTGTAACTTAATATTATTAAATATTCTAATATGGATATTACTAATTCTGTATGCCTTAAATTATTTATGATGATTTATTTATAAGTGCATACAGTAGATTACCAAGAGGCAATCATACTGATAGCATTTTGCTATTAAAAATAATATATTGCCACTGTCGTTATGAATACATGAAATTTTGTAAGTAAAAACTATATTTTCCATATAATCTTTTTAGATCTAATTTCTAATGTTAGTAATGTCTGTAATATGTACAGCACTTTTATCATACATAACAATACTGTTATAGGTAATGACAAAATGTATTTGTCTTATAAATTGCCAATGAATAAACTAAAAAATTATATTTTCTGTTCCTTGTGATTTTTTTTAAATTGTTTTTTCTAGCTTACTTGAAAAACTAAGATCAGAGCAAATACTACTGAACTCTTAAATGAAATATACTATAACACGATAATAATAAGGCTTCTAATAAACAGCAAACTATTAATTGTAAAATGCTTGATGATATATAGATATCATACAGTGATTTTGGTATGTGTGTGTTGGCATCTTAATCCTTGCAGACTTCCGATAGTCAACAGTAGTTACAAAAATGGTACAATAGTTAAATACATAAATCTTACCTAATCGGGCCATAAGTTCATTTTCCATTTCTTGAATCTGTTCATTTGCCTACACAGAAAGACATAAGGTCATATGCAAAATCATGCAAAACAAGCAAAAATTTGTATTTGATTATATTTTTCAAATATATAATTTTTAGCAATACAATTAAGTTTACTTCATAGTTAATTATATGATACTTAAAAAAATTAAACATAAGATACACATATGTTTCACCTACAGTTATAAAGACAAATGCAATAAATGAGAAATTACTCGAGATAGCTGTTCTTCCAATTCTGCAACTTGTTCCAAAGCAGCACTTTTGGTTTCAGAATCTTCCATAAGTGCCCCAACATCAAACACATTATCCAGGTATGCAGATATTTGCACCTGTAATTCTTCGCTTTCAGTTTGGCGCAATCTTTCTAGATAGTCATCCAAACCAATTTGCGTGAATTCATATTGCAGATGAACACGAAAATTCATATCTTCGACTGAATGGACAACAATGTTAACAAATTGCATGCACGCAACCTGGAAGAAATATGAATAATATATTGTAATAAAAATTATGAATATCACAAAATGAATACATAGTGCAAAAACAAGAAATTAGTTAATTCAGTATAAATAAAACTTTTATACACAAACTTTTCAAAAATTGCTCACAATTTTATATGTTAACACCTGAACATTTTATACAATACAGAGATTTAAGATATTTGTGCATAAAATATTTATAACTTTTCAAGCTTATTGAGACCTTTATTTTCATTTTTGATGCAAAACAATTTTAAAAAGAGCATGGATTTATAAATTAAATTTTAAAAATAAACTTACCATAAAGTCAATATTAAAAACTTCATAATTTATAAAATAGTCCATCAGGGTTTCAAATCTCCGCCTTTCTCCACAAACTTCTTTAAAATTGTCAAATGCAGCAAGAATAATTTGATGCCCACCTTTCACAAGGCAGATGGCAGCTAACAGCTCTAACACTAAGGCTTTAGTTCTAAGGTGATAATAAGTATAAATTTTAAGAATTGTTAATATACCATTTCAAATTTAGAAAAAAATACAATTATCATGAAAGTTATCCACTGTAAAAGATGTTTTTAGAAATGAATAAAGAACAACTTAAGTTCAAAATACACAAACAGCTTAATACGCTTAATACATATCGTTATATATATTTTGACCTAAACTATTTTAGCCATGTCTTTTATTATTTCAAATGCCAGTTTTTTGTACATAACAGAACACTCTTACTTTCACCAGTACTCATAAAAACAATTATGAATAATTTCTGACAACTTCCTCAATACTATGAGAGACATGTTACTAACATTAAAATATTATTGTGTGCGTACGGGTTTGTTTGAATTGAATGCACAAGCCCGATGAAAAATGAACGAAATTTATTACTATCACAACAAAAATGCTTAATTTTCCTCAGATATTTGTTCAGTATTAAATATCTCACAGTAGTTATCTTTTAACTACTCAAACGTTCAAGAGAACTTTATTCAAAACAGTTAGAGAACGCTAATCCGCGAATTCGCTACAATCAACAAGAGCAGTTTTCTAAACAACAAAACAACAACAAACTAACTGACGACTACTAAATTGAGATGTTTTCCTCCTTTTTGTAAGATTTTAAATCGCACGCAAGAATTTTCTGGAACTTTCTCGAAATCAAAAAGAGATATTTATTTATTAAATGTTAAATGCATGTGCTCTTGTATTTTTAATTTTCCAGCTTAGTTTTCCTTTAATATTCATCACACGCTACACTGCATGGAGAATAAAACAATTTAAATTATAATTCAACTAACATTAGCTATTTAAATACCAAATCCATAACACTATCATACCAACATAGCACTATAGAAAAGTATTGGAACAGAATCATATTTTCCCCATTTTTTCAAGAATTTTGCTTTGAACACCTGTTTTGTTTTCATGCAAATATTGTCAAAGCAAAAATATACATAAGCAAAGGTAAATATATAATAAAATAAATATTTTATTTGGACAGAAGTCCATGTCAAGTTTTTTTTTAATTGCAGATGATTTTGCAGTTTGATTTATTAAAATTTGCAAAATATATTTATATTACTAGCCTGCACTTTTGTTAATTATTAAAAAGCTTTGGTATTAATTTTTTTTCTGAAATTTGGGAAACATAAGAAAACTTCCTTTCAAGGTGAATTTCAGCTGCATTCAATAATTCTGAATATATTACAAATTCTTTTTCCCAACTTTTTATTAATTTAACAATTCTTGAAGTATTTCAAATTATAAATAAAAATATCTGCAAAATTGTGTACTTAGCAGAAAAGCAGAATAAATGTTTTAGGAGATATAAGCTGAACAACCAAAGATTGCAGTAGACATCAAATACTGCAAATTTTGATATTCAGCAATAGAAACTAGCAAGCAACAGAAGAAGACCACCTAGAAAGCTCACTAATTTTCTTAAATTAATTAGCCTCAATGACAGAATGAAACAACTTGATAATAAATGCAAGAAGACTGCAGATCTTTTCCAAAAATATAGAAAACTTTATACAAACTGTCTTGAAGAAATCGGATTATTACATAAATCAAATTTAATAAATAGCTAAATGATGAATAACAGTATCCTAGTATTAATGCAGATTTGAACCTTTTGGTGTGAAAAGGATATTATATTAAATGAACATCAAACACACATTGCAATACACAGATCCTACTATGCAACATAAAAGTACTCACATTCTTTGTTGGGATTACCATTAGAGGAAGGGTTGTTTGTATAAAATTAATGGGAAAATTGAACAGAAACATATCATGGAATCCTTATTCTTCATGCTGTATCAATGAGCTTCATCCCTTTTGTTGAATATTTCGTAAGTTAGTACCCTTAGTTATGTCTAGACATTGTATAAAATAACTAGGAAAACAGAAGCAGCTTTGACATTCAAATCCTGCTAGATACACTTGAGAAATAAGTACAACACGTCTGGAAAATCACATGAAGTGATGATTAAAATAAAACTTGTTTTCATATAAAATACTGATTTTTTCCCCTACCATTCTGTTTTAATAATTCAATAAAATCAATGCTAATATTGCTTGATTTAAATTAAACATACTCTTACTTCTGACAATACATTACATAATAGCAAGAAAAGCAAAAAGAATTATTCTAAATACTTTTGCATTGAAACATTTATCAAGGATTATTTATATAACTTTTATTAAATAATGAAGAATCTGTATGTATGTATGCTCCTCCCACTACTGAAAAATGGTGACAAATACCCCAATTATATGTGCATCACAAGTCTGAATTTTGAATTTTTAAAATTTATTTCACTTTAGTTACCTGATCATATAAATTCTTCTTGCATGCAAACCTAGTTTCTTACTTATATATACATCTCTGATTTAAAAAATAACATAAATAAAATTTTAATTAATCCTCTGAGACCAAAATGCCCAAGGCGGCCTTTCATTCTCAATGATACAACTGCCTGTAATGCCCGAACTTACAATATTGCTTAGAGGGAAGAAAGTATGCAGAAACTATGCAGTAAACACGTACAATGCATCTTACAATATTGCTTTCTTCCCCCCCTAAGGAGGGAAGAAAGTATGCAGAAACTATGCAGTAAACACGTACAATGCACTTTCCCAAATGCATTGTACGTGTTTAATTACAGACAGCTTGTTCTAAAAGCTGTCTGTAAATGGAATGGCTAATGGAAGCTTCTTTGTTAGGAAGTAGAAAAGATGTCATTTGAAATCTTCCCACCTCTTTGTGTAGTAATGGATAGGGATGGACGTTTTGGTATTTTAAGCGCAGAGACTTCAGTTTTCTAAGGGTTAATAATGTTTCCCATCCAAGGATACTGTAAACAAAATGAATGGAGCATCATGTTTCAAAGCAGGCACAAAATTTGTCAGAGCATTACAAGTCAAATTATTTTGGACACAAACTGTCTTTTATCAACAAAAAAGAACACTGTTAGGGACAAGCATTTACAAGAAAACAAAGAGGAAAATCCAAAATATACTACTGTGTGAAACTATAAAAGCGAAAAAATCTAAAAGAAAGGAATAGTCATTAAAGCTGAAAGCAAATATAAGAAATTTAATAAGTTAAACCCCAAGGAAATATAATAAAATTAATATGGAAAAATTAAGATTAAACATAAAAAAACTTTCTGAAAGAAAATTCCAGAAAAGTTGAAATAACAGAACACTGAGCTCCAATACTACAGAGGGGAGGGCAGGTAACTGTCAGAATTTAGAAGAAATCAATAAGAAGAACCTCTGAAAGAATTTCAAGTTCAAAATTTTGCAAGCAGTATTTCAGAATATTGAAATTATCAGAGCTATTGTTTTAATGCTGACACTTATAAAAAACACTAATAAAATTCTCTGACAGAATACTCAAAGACAAAGATGATAAAAGAAACTTTAGAAATGAAAATAAACCATTTCTCTATTAGTACTTCTCAGCTGAAAAAAAAAAAAAAAAAAAAAAAAAATCCATGCAGTTATGGAGACTTAAACAGTTTACGCTGGTTCAAATGGCTTAATTTTTTTTTTTAAATGTCAGTTAAATAATAAATAAAAGATTAAAGCTTTTTAAAAGAATGGAAATAAAATTTTAAAAATATAAGCTCTTACTTACCGTAAACTTTTGTGGTTCAAACTAAGAGCAATGCAGTTGATAGCTTGTGTATGTTCTATGACCATGTTAAAGCCATACTAAAATAACATTACAATGAAAAAATTTTAATTGAAAACTGAAATTTTATCAAAACAATTTAAATACAATAGTAAAAATAGCACCTTAAAATTAATATCAAGGATAATAACTACTGTAAAGAAAGATTAAGGTAAACTGTACTTTTCCATTATGCACCTGCCATGCATTATGGTGGTTTTTGAATAATAAACAATTTCTAGTTAAGAACAGTTTAAATACATGTACATGCAATGATAGCAGAATGACAGAATTGGAAGTTAAATTGGAAGACAGATCTTGAGTTTGTTATCTATGAATATGGCAAAGAGAATGCAACTGTCCAACATGAAATAATGCTGCGTTTTCTAGCCTGAATGTCTAAGGTTAGATGGATATAAAACTCTTGCCACAAAAATGAGACCTTTAAATATCTTATGTGTAAAGACTCACTTCTACATAATATATTAGCAACAGAAAAACTGGTGGTGGAAATTCCCTCCATATTATGTGCATTTGAATGGAATGCAGAGTTCACTTTACTTATGTTTGAGGTCACAGTGGTATTGGCAGTGACTTATCATGATATTGAATTAGTGATGTCTGTTCCTACATCTTATTGGAAGCTTGTTGCTCAGGATAAAACTGTGGTGGACTGAATTGCTGAAAATCTTGTTTCATCCAGTGAACAAAATCAAGTCCAGTGAACAAAGAAATTTTGGCCAATGGTTTTTCAACATTTTAAACATAAGCACAATCAACCAGATTATAAACTAATTCAAGTTAACTGGTCATAGGAATTTCAGAAAAAACTTTTTTTTTTTGTTTTTTGTTTTTTGTTTTTGTTTTATTATCATAACCAGTGGAGTCTGTGCTTGTGGCAATATGGCAGAAGATATAGAGCATATCTTATGACACCGCAGATTACATGCAAGTGCTAGAACTACTTTTAAGATGAGTTTAAGGCATCTCTCTATTTGTTGGTATCTTGTTTTCTCTGACCTTGTCAGATTTCTGAAACTTTTGCTTTCTTATCAACTTTATTTGTTGCTTTAACTTTCAGTTTTATTATTTTTATACACTACTGCATTATTATCTTTCATGTGTCACTGTAATATCTTTTTTTTTTTTATTATGTACAATTATGTTATGTATTAAAGCATAGTATTATTGTTGTATGATATCTCCTTTGTATTTATACTACTTTTTAAGTACTATTGTGTTATTATTAAAATGATCTACTTTCTTTTTAGTCATAGTATTATTACAGCTTTTTTTATTTATGGTATATTTTAGCATTTTTATTATAATATATTTGTATTACTACATATACACCCAATTCTCCCTAGAGTTAGACATTACATTTTACTGTTGTAATATAGTATCTCCTTTGTATTGCTGAGTTATTTACTTAATTTTTGTAAGCTTCATGGCAAATTCTGTGAAACTAAGGAGTTTTGCATTTATTTTCTTAAATAAAAAATAAAATAAAAATATATGCGTTCAGGTTATTTTCTTGTCTTTTTTTTTTTTTAAATACATTCTGTAATTTTGATAATTCTTGTTAACTTTTTAGATCATTACAATATCTGAATAGATTTCATAAGATTAATTTTTTATGAAATTTAAGTTTTTGCCTGAAATTATATAAGAAATTACAGGTTATTAGACATTATAGGAAACATGTTTTAAACTACCAAAATGATAATGATATATGTGAAAAATACAGTCTCTTAAACTTATGAGCAATAAACTGGCTCATATATTATATTAAAATGGAAATTAAACATAAATTACAAGGAAATTAATTTTTGTTTCTTTTGCTACTCGCACAATATAATATGTGTAAACATTTTGTAACAATTCTGTTTGAAATACTGTTTTTTTTTTAACTAACATTAAATAAAGTTATCAATTACATCTTTTATTTGTGAGAAATATTGAATAATTTATGAGTTTAACAAATGAACTTCTTCAATTAGACAAATTTCTCATTTCAAATTTTCTTACAAAAATCCCAATTTAAAAAAAAAAAAAAAAAAAAAAAATTAATAAAAATATAACTTGGCAATTCTATTATTTATAAAAGTATTTTTTAAAGAAAAATTTTAGTAATTTTACAAAAATATCTAAAATAAGTAATAAATACACCATATTTTACATGTTTTAAAACTGCATCTATGTTAACATCCAATTTAACAAATGTAATTCTTGCTAAATCAAGGTACATTTTTAAAAATGGAGATCAACTCTAATTCCAACTGACTAAAGTAGCTTTCTTACCTTGTTGTTCATTATGGCTCTTAAACACATGATACACACATGAATGTCATCTTTAGCTTCACCCATATTTAATTTGGCTATGTGTTTAGTTGCTCGACGAACTTTCAAACTTTCCACATGCAATAATGGCCTATTCTTTGAACTTAATGTATTTCCATTTGGGACAACACTACCTTCTTCATGGTTTGCTTGATTTACTATTTGTTCATGTCTATATTCAAAGAAAGCAACTATTAATATATTATATATAAAACAAAAACAGTGTTGACATATATACTCTTCAAACTATTTATGGCATTATATTTTAAAAACATTTCTTATTGCCATGTATGGTATTATATTGCCATCTATGATACTTATAACATGGTAATAGGTTGACTATATTCCATGCCTCTTTGAGCTGTCCTTATTTCGGGACAACCTGGACATCACATTTCAACAGGGTAATGCCTCATTGCATTTAGCACTTCTACTGATTATCTTCATGCTGGCCAAACACTTTTCAGACCACCTAGAGATCTTCCCTCCGCATAGCATGCTTGAAATATTATGAGCAGGTAACTCTGATAATCCCAAGATGTTGCTGATCTGATTCAAGAATTAGATCAGCAAGAATCAGAAACAGATTCAAGAACTAGATTCAGAATTAAATCTGATTTGAACATGTTTTTGGCTAGAAATCCTGTGAAAGATCTTCTGCCAACTCTATAAGTCAGTTTCAAGCTAGATAATAGCTTGCCTAAAAGGTAAAGGCCAATGCTTCATTGATTTATTCAACATATGTAGCTTTATCTCCTGAATAAAACATTCAATTCCTCTGAAACTTTAATCACTTCTTTTTCCACACATTACATCAACCAAGTTTCATCACAATCGGATAATTCCCTTTATTTGATCTTCTTCCCCCTTTTCTAAAGGTTTTTGTTGTGTCTTAGAGTGTATAAAATGCTAAAAGTATAATTTACAATCAAATGGTTTAAAAAATTAAGAATCACGACTAACACATTGCAGTTAATATATAAATTTTCAGCTATTACATAAAAGCTTAAAAATTTAAGATACAGAAGTTAAAATTGGTTTTTATTTACACAAAATTTAGAAACATGCAGCTTACTTGACCATTAGAAGACGAAATGATAGATAATCTACCAAGATGTCAAGACCCATATTTTCTTCATTTAAAAATTCTCTAACCCATCTGATTAAAAAAAAAAAAAAATCATATACATGTATAGAAAAAAGATAAATCATAAACACAGGTATAAATTTGTAATTAAATTGATACTATAAACACAAATAAGAATGATACTTACTCAATGTTATTTGTTCTTAAAGATATCTCTAAATCCCTTAAAACCTGTGTTGATGTTGCATCACCTAGTATTTTTCGTTTCTGTAAACACAACTACATATATAAAAAAACATGACTAATATTATAAAAATACAGGATATCCCAAAAAATGCATACACTTTTTTACAAGCTATAATTTCTTACATCTGCATTCTTTTGAAACTGATTTAGAATAACAGCTGAAATAATAAATTTTGGAAAAAAAATCACTTGTTAATTCTAACAGAAAATACAATCTCCTATTATAATAATGATGTAGGGTTTTATCTTGATGAAATGGGTTTAGAGGAAGCATTGAACTCTGTGCTCACTAATTTTAAACATAAAATTTAAAAACATTTTAAATCAATACTTTATTTATAATCATTTAAACAGTATACACATGTTTTGGGACAGCCTGTAGAAAATGCAATAAAATTTTATTATAAAAATACAGTAAAATTATTTCACAATTCCCGATTTTAAAACATCTTATCAAAATAACTTTTTTTTATCTAAAGAATATTTTAAAGTTCAATTAATATTAGAAGATGAATATATAAAAAAATCCTTTAGTATGTCCTTTAAATTTTGATGAAAAAATAATCATTAAAATTTGAGAATGAAAAATTTGTTTTAAATAACAACCCATCACTAACACAGCTAATTTAAGTTCTTAATTTCCTATAGAAGTGTTTTCTCATATAGAGTTATGTTTCATAATTTAGTTATTTCAGATTTAATGGACATATATTTAAATAAAATATTAAAATAAGATTAACTACAAAAAAACTTGATATAATTACCCGGGAGCTTCTTGAGGCTTTAGGATCTAAATATGTCTTTAGTTTACGTAGATAGAAAGCAGGGGATGCTTTAGCCATAACTTTCTCCTACAAACAAATAAATAAATGAATAAACTTGTAATGTAAATATTTTATAATAGAAATTAAATTTTCATATACATTGCAAAGGAAGAAAAGAAAGTTTAAAAAATCTGAACAAATTGAAATACTTATGTATTAATGCAACCACCTTGACGATTTTGTACAGAAGGAAAAAAAAAGTTTTGGTGAATTTTTCGATTGCAATTTACAATGATATGGTTACTTAAGGAAGTGTTATGCACATTTGGTGACATCTATTGAGGTGGGTGCAATAAAACTTAAGTAACACTTATAATAATCAAGTGTTGAAATTCCATGCGAAAGACTGAAATTTTTTAACACTTTTTAATTAAATCAATTTACATACTTAAAAGAATCCAATTTATTTCAATTATTTAAATAAAGATTATTTATACATTTGATTAATGTTCAAGCATAAAGGGGATGGTATCACTAAATGACAATGTGCTGCTTATTAGTTAAAAACTTCTTCTGCATCTGGTGGCTAAAAACAATCAGTTCCACCTCCCCACACCTCAAATCATTTGAACAGGATTAGATTATGGATTGAGGCAAAGTATATGAAAGCTATCAGTCTATGAGAAGGAGTGCCTTCATAAAGGACATTTTAAGGAAAACTGGCTGATATTTATGTTACTCATGAGTAAAACTACAAAACAACTAGCTATGACCAGTATTTGAACTTTGCTGAAACTATAGTGTTGAGTGATTTTACGTCTGAATTGCTGATGAGCTCACGTAAACAGGACTTTTCACAAAAGATATACTAAGCCGCCTTTTAGCCAAATGCTACTTTACTGCCATCCAGCATAATTTCTATAATGCTTTAAACACCCTCTTCATGCATTTAAAATACATATTTTGACTGAATATATTTAGCAGAAAGTAGCATAAATATATTTTTGTTTACACAAATGGTATTTGCACTCATATATGTATGATGAAGAGTTAAATTCTTAGTACTGAAAAACTCATATAATACGACACATCTAACATTAAAAATTCATAAATAAGTAAATACATATTAAACATATCAAAAGGCAGACTATATAAAATGAAAGTTTATATAGTTGTTAGCACAAAGACAAAGTTGTTAGCACAGAGAAAATTTATCCGATATTTCCAGACCTAATTTTTAAATAATAACCATTTGTAATCAAAACTATGACAAACCTATCAATTTACTTTGATACATCTTCACTTTAAAATAGTTTTCAGCTTAAAAAAACTTTTCTCCACTGATAATGCTAATGAAAATTGTCAGCTTTAGATTCAATACTACAATAATGCACTGAATGTTAATTTGGATATGTTCAAATGACACATTTGCAATAATTTTTTACAACTCTTCAAGATCATTTTCCCGCAAATTAAGAGTTAAAATTATTTTTAATTTTTCATGAAATTCAGTAGCATTAATGTCACATCTAATATTATATGTCAGTATTGTTTCCAAAATTTAAACCAATGAATTAACTTCATATGAAAGGTTACCACACAGACTGTCCACAATACATTGATGTTTTATTTAATAGACCCTCATTAAAAGGGAGAGTACCCACAAAGAGAGTTGTTCATTAACAGATGTTTGACTTCATGTACACTCATCTGCACATAAATATCTGATCGAGCTTCTAAATAATAAGGACATAAATTCCAGGTTTATTTAACAGAAATACTATAACTTCTCAGTTCAAACTTGATACTACCTTTAAAAATATGGTAAGCAATTTATTACTCATATTTCTTAAATTACAAGCCTAATTCACTTTTCTGAACCACCAAAAATTACAATAAGTACTTAAAATCAACAAAAACCTCAATAATTATGTATAAACATTACAAGCAAAAAGCACATTACAATCAATACAAATAGCAAAGCCAAAAAATTATTGACAACAAATTTATTTACCTGATCACATATCATGTCCCATTTTTTCTCATCATCATACTGCTTCAGGAGTTTTACTTTGTCCGGCGGTAAATCCATGGATGCCTAAACACAAAGAATTAATTACAAAATGTTTAAACAGTGTCATAAAAAAAATTACTCTATTCCTTGTGAATAACAGTTCCTCAGTGTATCAACCTTGAGGGTTCTAAAGAGGACATATAATGCCAAAAAATAAAATCACACTTTAGAAAGTTAGCTTTAACAACAGATCTGGATAAAGTACGTGTAATTTAAATCATATCAATTTAGTTTTAATTCCATACATCCAAGATTGTACTGATTTTTTCATAAAAAGTGAAATTTGAATTCTGTAAAAAATTTTTAATTGTGGATTTCAAATTAAATAGCATATATAGAAAGAAAAAATATAAATGATTATTGTATGCCTTATTTTGAAAATCAATACTAATTTCTAATAATAATTTATTTGTATTTATTTTTTTTTTATTTATTTTGTTTATTTTACTCTTTTTTTTTTTTTTTTTTTTTTTTGTTACTTAACTCACTCCTTTCGCTCTTCATCCTTTCAATTTTGTTCAACAGATGGCGCCACTTTTGCTGCATTAATGTTTAATTTATTTATTTTACACTTTGAATAAATAATTTTTCGCTTGAAAAACGGACACCATTGCAAGCTTCTCTTGAAACGCATACAACGCAAAACCACACCATATATTAATTTATGCAATAATTTTGCCCAATTTGCTCACTGCTGTAAACTAATTTCATTACTTCCTGATTATTCGCACCCCTCACCGAAAAGTCTCGAAAAGGTATTCACGGGGCAAAGAAGTATATCGCCAAAATAGTTATGGTGGCAACCTATAATGTTACCAAAAAGTACTTTTATGGCTAGAGGGATGCGCGTAGCATATGCATGTTTTGGCGGTGCGCAATGCGACGTTGTATCAAAGAATATGTATTGTTATAAATACACGTTCTTTGGCTGTATGATGCTTAGTTTGTGCATTTATTTCGCTGGTGGTCTCGTAAGATGTACATGGGGAGAACAATTACGTAAAAAATAAGAATTTCTTGACAAATATAAGATGTTCCTTGCTTTTTTAATTTTATCGATTGAACTGCTCTTATATGGAGTTCTTAGCGCGCTACCATTTTGTAAATGGTTATTGCTGGTGTTGGTGTATTTAATTGGTGTTGGTGTAAATAAAGATTATTTATACATTTGATTAATGTTCAAGCATAAAGGGGATGGTATCACTAAATGACAATGTGCTGCTTATTAGTTAAAAACTTCTTCTGCATCTGGTGGCTAAAAACAATCAGTTCCACCTCCCCACACCTCAAATCATTTGAAAAAGCACACTAGGGCTATCTGCCTAAGGGAAGGGAAGCCTTCGTGGAGGACTTTCTAAGGGAAACTGCCTCGTAAACCCGTTACACATGGAGAAAACCACGAAAACACCCATGCAGCCAGGCCGTTCGCGGGATTCGAACCTCGGACCTAACTACCAGTTGTTCAGCGACATTACCGCTCGGCCGCTGGTGGGCGTAAATGGTTACTGCCTTTCGATTATTACCTTGGCGAAAAATTAGTCGCCAAAGAGTTCACAACGTTTCGGTGGGACTGCGCGTAATTAAAATGTGCCCAAATTTTTATAATTTGCCGCCCTGTTCGACATTGTGGTAAGGAAACCAGCTGCCATAACACTAACGCCGGATTCAAATCCCAAAGACATAGATATTTGTATACATCTATCCCCTCTTCTCATGGATGGAATATAATCATCTTTGTATTGGATGTGGGTTCTAAACTAACATTCTGTGGGATGACACGTTAACTGACATTTGAATTCAGCTATTTCCCGAAGAATACTTGAACCAGCTAGTATCCGGCTATTTGAAAAGGGAAGGGAATTCTGCTACTTTTCCATTCTATACTATAGCGAAAACAAATATATTTACAGATTAAAAAGCCTCTGAAGAAGAGAGAATACTGATTTCTCTTTTTAAACTAAGAACATATAGTGAATTTGAGTTTCAGAAAGCAGCGCCTCCTTAAACTCTGTATCAGGTGAAGAACACCGGTAAAACAAAAAGACGAAAGTAAAAGTAAATTTTTAAATACCAAGCATTTTTGATTGAAATCATTGCCAAACAAGCGTTGACAATTACCTTCCTATAACAAGATTTAGGTTTTAACCAAGAGACTTTCAAATAGCGTGTCGCGAAATTGTGAAAGAAAGGAAGATGAAGATAAAATAAATATATATATAGTAAATAAGGCCGAAACAAACTAAAAAATATGAACAGTTTAACTAAAAAACGAGGGAGTGGGGATGCATTATGGCAAAATTTAGTTACATTAATACACGCAGATCTTTTCTTTTTCACGATCTTAATTTTTTTTTTTTTTTAAATTTATTTTTATCATATTTATAGGCAATGTAAAGCAATATGTTAAAATAATGCTATGCCAATAAAAAATGAATATACTTTCTATAACGACTTCGGATGTATTTTATCTGTCCCGACATAACGACCCATGACAACAATAGTCTGTCTCATTTAGTCTAATGTAAATTTTCTTTTTCAATATAACAGGCATTTCAAGGAACCAAAATCTGCTACAATGACCTTGCAAACATTAATAAGATGAAATGTGAGCTTTTTTCCGAGAAACCGATAGTTCCTTTTATCTCAGGGTAATAAAAAAATTAATTTAATATTACTGAGACCCAACAAATTTTTCAATACAATTATGTTGAGACACAATAATAAGAAAGAAAAAATAACTAAGGTACCATTTTTCACAATAATATTGCTTCTGTAACACAAAATTTTTACCCGGAAATATTTATCCTTAGGTAAAAAAAAAAAAAAAAAAAAAAAAAAAAAACTGAAATTTTTAGATTTTAATTACGTCCAAAGGGCGTTTTTTTAAGTTTTGAGGTTACCTTTATTTATTAAATATCATGTTCTTCGCACTTAAACCATAAAATTTAGTTCAAGAGTAATATTGCAAAATAATTTTAAATTGAGCAAATCTTTAAAATTTCCGATACACAGTCTCACGCACTGGAGAAAAAAAGTCTTCTTTCTGTGCCATTACTCGCTTTGAAATCCTTGAGTTTGCTAATCAGAAATTCGTTAAAGGTTTACAAAATATGAAATCGCTTAATAAAAGAAATTCCGAATTAAAATGTTTGCTTCCAGATGCCCATATTCGCAGAAGGATAACGTCATTCAAAATTGGATAGCTCTAGGTACCTTGTTTAAATACAATGCGAGAAACGTACATGCATTTATGCAGATTATTTATTATTTAATTTCTTCAAATATAATACAGGGCAATAATATTTGTGGCACCAGTTGAAAAGGAACCGACGTTTATGAGTCCGACGCAAAATGCACAAAAGAAAGCCTTCTCGCGGGACTGAAATCCCTTTGGACTAAAAAAAAAATGTTTGATACTGATGTAATATATGACCAACCCCTTTAAGTTAACTATTCATTTCTTAACCGATGCTACTAAAACACTATTTTTAAATATGAAAATAAATATAAATAATTAAGAATACATAAACGAAAATTATCTCGTTAATTACTTTAAGGCAGGTATTAAATTTTTAATTCAACTAATTTTAAATTCCTTTTAATTTTACATAACAAAAGCAAGTGTGGCCCTAAGGGCTGTTTTCATAAGTCGTTCAGCCGTACATATTACGTATATCGCGCAACATGGCCAAAAAGTAGTCATCTCTTATATGAACATCCACTTCTGCTTCTGCGAGATAATATACTTCACATGTGCAGAACCTTCAAATATCCCACTATGATTCAAATTTTTGAGTATCCGTACCAAAGAATTCTTTGACCGTACCGTCTACAAGACTGACAGAGTTCTGTAAAGTCTGCACCGGTTGACAGAACTCCTACGTCAGCAAGATTGACAGAGATACTGTTTTACAATGCGATGATTGGAACCGAAGCAGCCCAGCCCCAAGACCATTCGTCACTCACGATAATTCAGCCAAATATTACTTCTGTCTGTGTTATGGGTAGTAAAGTTGCGGCATCAGCTTCATAAAATAAAAACTTCAATAGCTTTCACATTCGAACATGTGATAAAAAGGCGGGGAAAAGGAATGATTTAAACCAGGAATTTTGCTGGAGGCATCTAAGAAATGAATAACTAAACGCGGTAGATCGCACACTACATGATTACCAATTCTTAGCCTAAAGAGGCGTTGGGCCCAGAAGAACTATCAGTAACGAAACGGAATTTTACGTCCAATCAATTTTCAAACTGTTGCCACGAAATATTACCGCCTTCTGTTACGTTTAAAGCAATTAAATAATGAAGAATCTGCATGAACGTATATATTGCGGAAAAACAACGATACCTAACAGCCATCAAATTTTGAATAACGTAGTCCTTCACTCTGAACAATAATAATTTATTCCTTGGATATTTAAAGTTTTAAGGGAATATCACAGTGGTAAATTATTATCCTTATTATTATTTTTGACCGATTTTCGAGGAATATTCTATACAAATATTATTTAACAGAAAGGTCCTTCTTTTCTGTTGAACGCTAGAAGCTCAATACTAGAAAAAAAAATGGTAATTGTAAATGTAATTGTTTCTAAAATGCATCATGTCAGTAATGAAGAACAAAATTCAATTGCTTGCTTTTTTTTTTTTTTTTTTTTAAAGGGAGGAACTAGTTTGGCGTAGATTTTGAATAAATCTTTATCAATTTTGTGGGCGACCAGACACAGGTCCCGTTTCTTTAGGAGCATAAGAACAGTCACTTCCGTTTGATCGCTCTCGAAACTGATACGGTTTTATTCAAAATTTACACAAATCCCCCCCACATAGTTAAATTTTTAAAATGACGTGTTTATCTTGCAAATTAAACTTCAATACTGATTAAAATCCAGATAATTTATACACTCGCACTGATTTTTCATATTCAAACTGAACACTTGAAGGTTGTCATAAATTAGAACTTTTTCAACCTGAAACATTAGAGTTAATCAAAAATAGAACAAATAATAATAATAATAATAATAAA